CTTCTAGAAAGCTTAAGAGATCAACACATTACACAATATTTCCATCTTTGATCCTCAATAAAAATAAAAAAAATAAAAAATAGGGTGAAAATAATAAGCGCACCTAGAAGAATAAAGCTTTAATAAAAGGTCCACTCTCTTAACTTGATGATCGGTACTAGATTTGTGTGTTAGTTTGAGGGTAAGGATGTGATTACTTCTCTAGTTGGCTAAGATAGCAACACACTTGATGTCGGACCTCTCACATGGATTCTAGACTTGTTTCGATTTTCATGATCATTTTCTTGATGTGTGGAGGACCATGCTTGCTTGTTTGATGTTGAGATTTTGGGAGATTGCTTGGAAACGGTTGAAAAATTGCATACTTGAGGTAGTTTTCTCCCAATGCTTGTTTGCAATATTGGTGCCTCTTTTGAAAGAATGAGCTTAATGTTTGTGGGTACCATTTCTGGAAACCCTCACGAGACTTTACTCGTCCACTAGGGGTAACCTAGGGGTTTAAAAGGCTTGTTGCATATGCTAAATGCAATCGTGTTCCCTGCGAAAATGGTGTTATCATTTTACTTGCTTTCCAGTTTATACTTGTTTAGTTGTTCATTTCATTCCTTTACTTCTTAGTTCATTGCTAGGGACTAACAATATTTAAGTTTGGGGGTGTGATGAGAACCGAAAAGTGCGCATTTAAACCCGTTAAACTTAAGCATTCTAGTACCTTTATCTATCTTACTTTGCCGTTTTAGACTTATTACGTGTTATTTATATTTTCAGGCACTAATCCCAAAATTGAGCTAACTCAGCCAAATAAAAGCTTAATTGAAGCAATCCTGAGATAAACCAAAGGAGGGAGCAAAGTGGAGAAAGAAAGGAGCAAAAAGGAATTAAGTTGTGCAGCTGAAAAGTTCGATCGATCCAACTTAGAGTTCGATCGATCGAACATCTATGATCGATCACAGTACTTCTCGATAGATCCAACATTGGCCTTTGCTGAAATTCAAAGTTCGATCGATCCAACATCACCTTCGATCGATCGAACCCTATTTTATCCTATTCAAATGATTGATCTTATCCACAGCTGTACGCCTACCAACCACTTTTGTCCTTTTCCCTATAAATATCTTCGAAATATCTCAGCCTTGTCCTTATCCGGAGGAGTCAGACCACTTCGATCGATCCAAGATGCAGTTCGATCGATCGAACCCATCTTCGATCGATCCAAGTTAAGGTTCGATTGATCGAACTTCCTCCAGCGAGAAAAAGTTAAAGTCCAGCTCATTTATTCCGTTCTTCACCCAATCATTGGAGAATATGCCTTGCACGACCACAGCTCATCATAGGGTGTATTTGACCTACCTATATAAGGAATATGATACACTTTTTGAAAAGGTTCTAAAGTCTCTTGTCACACATTGAAAATCATCTTGGAGGCTATTCTTGGAGAGGAAGAAGGGAGGAAGCTAGAGCAACCATTGGAGGAGATCTTCATCTACAAGGAGCAGCCATGGAGTTAGCCCTTGAGGGTTGGATCATCACTACCATGAGTGGCTAGACATCTTCTTGGGGCTAGAGTTAGCCCCAAGCATGCTTTCTATACTCTAATCTTGTGTATTATTGAGGGATTAGTGTTGTATGATACATCTTGATATTCATGTGTATATAAATCTTGATTATTTCATGGTTTGTATGGTTTAATGCTTCCAATTGACTATTTTATTCTACCCATATGTCTATGTATGCTAAAGTATGATATTCATGTGCTTATCTCTAGATTTAGTGTTTTTGATGCATGTCTATGTGTATTGATGCTATAGATCTAGAGATTATCAAGATGATATGCTTAATGAATGCTATTTTGGTTCATTTGATGGTTTATGCCTATTCTTGATGGTTTGTGCCTTTCCCCTAGTCTAGATAGCTTTATTTTCATGCTAGTAGTGTAGATTTAGTGTAGTGGTAGCATAATGTTAGATGGGAGGACAATCTACTCTTGATGTTTGATGTTCCATGCTTGTGAGTCCAAATGGCATATTCCTCTAATATTGTGTTGCATGTGGATTGTGAGCTTAATGAAGGATTAATGACTTGTTTTGATCTATTGTGCTATCTCCATATTGTCTAGACAATATATGCTCTATTATTTAGATATATTGTGCTCTTCACATAATGTTTAGACAATACTTGCTTGATTTGTCATTCTTGCCAATTGAATCAACCTAATGCACACACACCCTTATCATATTGCAACACATCCATTACCCTCAATTGATCACTTGTTAGTAGTATAGAAAAGTATTGCTTGGTGGTGATCTCTACACCCCAAGACCTCTCTCTCTCTTGTTTACCTCATATTATTTTATTTAGTTGAATTCAATTTAGCTTTATCAACCAACCAACCAATTGTGTGATCACTCGACCTACTAACCCTAATTACCATAGTTTCACAATTCGATACACCATCAAATCCCTTGGGACGATCCCTACTCGCCCTATCTATATTTTATATAGAGAAAGGTAGTAGTGGCTTTCTATAAATGTAAAACTTGGCCACCTCCTAAATTCTCACACAACTTTCAAGCTTGACTTGGTATCGCGACCCTTGTAAAAGAGGACCGGTCATCACTCATATTTGAAAGAGTGATTTCGTATTTCACTTACACCCCAAATGTTAATTAGTAGTGATGGTAGAGTACTTTTAGGTATAAAATGACTATGCCACCCTCTGACCTCCTTATTGACTTTTTTTTTTTTTACCAAACTACCCCCAAACCTCGCCTTTCTGTTTTTCCACACGATATGGCCTTCTCTCTCCTCTCCTCTCCTTCCTCAACTCCACCCATCAATCCTGTTCAGCACTTACCCAAATCCCAGCTCACCAATCTCTGATGGCCCTTCCGTCGGAGTACTGCGACACTGTATTCCATTGACGGCCGCCACGAACCCATCGTCGAACCACAACGGATGTCGGCGGCAGAATCGTGGCAAAAAGCTCGAGAATGTAGGGGCTCGTCAACTCCCAAACAACCACCAGTCTGTTTTACTTCTTGAATTCTAATACACAAACACCTTCTTATTCGTTACACAGTCTCGGAGACGATCCGCAACTCATCTTCATGCCGGGGTTGCGATTCAAGTGAAACCCATAATAAGTAACGCGATCCAAAATCATACCCATATCAACCACACATTTCCCATTAAACAAAACCAACACACACAAGACTCGTACATAATTGATTATATATAAAACCCAACCTTCAACTTTGACCTAGAGAAAATAATGATTTGAGAGAGAGAGAGAGACCTGTTTGTGAAAAGGATTTCTAGAAAGAAGAATGGGATGGAGATAATGGGTATCCATTTTGTGGAATGAGAGGTAGACTCGTGTGATGTCGTTACAAACATCAAATAAGATTGAATTAGGGAGTTGGGTTTAAAATGTATAGTATTACTAGTCTGCTGTAGATCAATTTTATGCACAAATTTATGATCAGTTTGGTGCAATAGGAAAAGGAGGAAAAGAAAGGGAAGGTGATAGAGGGTGATTAAAAAATTGTGTTTGGCATAAATGGTGGGAAGGAAAGGGAAGGTGATGGATGGTTTTGGAAGGATAACTCAAGGCATGAATAGTATTTTTCTTAACCTCCCAAAAAAGGGAGGAAATGGAAGGAAATGGAAGGCTAGGGTTGATGAATTATTTCTGATGTCAAATTTATCCTTGCACAAAATCAAGATTACACTTGATTTTAGGGTTTAGTTTGCAAAAAAAAGAATTACAGACCTTGATTAGTTGATTTAGAAAAAAAATTAAAACAAAACCAATACATACAAGTTAGCAGTTGTAACAAGAAAGGGGAGCAATCTTGGAGAGTTGAGAGACAGCGGTTGAAGCTTGTGAACGGCGAACCCGAACCGGAACAGCGAGCGATGGAAACTGAAAGATATGGGTTTTGATTTTTTGAACAATCTGAAATGAGATGCCAATATGGGTTTTAATTTTTTTAAAAATTTGAACTGTAGATTTTGTAGTTTGCAGTTGTAGAGAAAGAGAGAGAGAGAGGGCAAGTGCAGAGTTAAGAACGAGAATAGAGATGGAGGTGGAGGCTGAAATGATTTGCCCTAAAAATATATATATATTTTTATCAATTTAACTTTTAAAATATAAAAGGGTATAATAGCAAATTCATATAAATAGGTTCCTTTCTTTTCTTTTCCCTATTTTTTCCCAAACACGATTATTATCCTTCCCTTTATTTTCCTTCATTAATCAACCAAACACGGTTGAGGGTTAAAATTATCATTCTCTTCCTTTCCCTTTCCCTCATAACTAATGTTATTATTTCTCTTCATTCCCACCGTACCAAACATAGCCTTATACTTTATCATAAACTTGCATTAACAAAAAAAAATGAGAGGGATCGCTTCAATAGTTGGGTAAGTTTCTACGATAATTATATATGTGTGTGTGTGTGCCATCAAAGACTTGTTGGGGACAAAGAAGACACCAGAACTGGTGGATTTTGACCAAAAGTTTAGAACCGGTGTCCCATCTTCTCCTTACTCTTTATTGAATTATATTCACTAAATTTAGTTATTTATTTATTTATTTTTTTAAAAAAGAAAGTTTCTTTTATTGTTTTGTAATATTATTAGAATTGCTTATTTATGTGTTATATATTTGATGTGTGATTTGTTTGGTAAATAAGAAAATTGAAGACACAAACCAACCAACCAAGCCATACAAATGGATGGAATGGACACACAAAATAGTAAGATGTAGTTAATAGTGCTGGAATATATATATATGAGCTGTTTTGTCATAAAATTGAGGGTAAAATATCGATTCGCAATATCTCATAGGCTAAAAAGTAAATTTGGGTGTAAGTGAAAATTAAAACTAAAATTTTCGTTTAACTGAAAAATAACCTAACCTTAAGGGGTCTGAGTGTAATTTACCCTATTTTTTAAAAAGTTGATAGTAAAGTGACGTCGTAGCCTATATATAGTTGCAGAAAGCAGATCCCCCTGGTTGGTGTCTCACTGGACCTTGAAAATGGAAGCGAGTAACAAGCAGAAAGGCTACGCATGGGCTCTTTCAGCCGGACTAAACGCTGCTCTCGCTGCCATTTCAGCTAAATTCTTCTCATCTCAGGTAATTAATTTATCATCTTCCAATCCTCCACCATTTGACCGATCAACAAACCCTAGATAGTAGCTAATATATATATATATATATTTTGTAGATCTGTTCAGCTGATAATCGCATCTTATCATTTCCCATCCCATGTCTTCAATTCTTTTTTATCACCACACGTGTTCATTTGATACATGATGTATCGGTTTATTGACTTTATTCTTCTGATATTTCATAACTGTTGTATCTGCCAAATTGTTTCCTAAACTGCTCTTGTTCTATGATTATAAATTGAGGTGAATATTTACAATTGAGTTTGTTCAGTGAAATACCACTCTAAAGCTAAGGAAACCCCTATTGAAATTTATGGATGACAAGTAAATTTGACCTTCCCCAATTGAAATGTGGAAAGGAATTAAAATTTATTGTACTATAATTTAATTGAATCTGACTGTCGTTATGAGGATTATCGCATTACTTTTATTGCCATCATTGACCCTTATGAGAAAGGATATTGAAGTATGCTTTTAGAGCTATAATGTTGTATACTTATAGTTGTATCATGGGATTGGATTTATCTGATAATCCGTCGGATGCTTTTTGTTGCTGGAAAGCCAAACTCTGTTTGGTGTGAGCTGAGCAACAGAATGTCAATGATGGTATGAGTAGGAATTATAACCTAGTTCTGAATGCAATGTCATGTGGATATGGTCCTTTTACTAACCCTACGTGGCCAAAAGATGGATCAACCCTTAAGTTAATTTGAGCAGTGTCTGCTTTGTCCATAATTTTGCTTCCCGTAATCCAAACCAAATGAACCATGTTCGAGAAACAAAAGCAGATGGAAAACCCATAACTTGTATTTTCGTTGGACAGTGCACATTCTAGTTTGTTCAGTTGCGATGCCTTAGACTTTTGCACAAGAATACAAAAGCATTAACTAGCACAAAAGAAGACGAAGATAACTGATTTTATATTTGCTCATGAATCACCATCATTGCTTTTATCTTACATAAATGAGGTCAGTCATTTGTATAAAAATCTGAGTCATAAACAGAATGTCGTATATTTACCACATTTGATATAGAAGAAATGTTTTTCATCTATGAGGAAGACGTGCATTGGGTAACCATTTGAATCTCAGTTTCTTAGCCTGAAAGAGTTGCATTGCCAGCATTTTGTATCGAATTCACTATGAGAACTTTTCCTCTGTTTGTCTTTTGGAAATCTGCTGCTTCTGGAGCATTTAAAACTTATTTACCTATCTAACACGTGAATAATCTTCACTTGGTCAAATACATGCAACCACAAAATAACCACATGTAAAACTTTTATACCTGTCATAATTATTAATCAAAGTTTCTCGTTTCGACAGTTCATTAGATATGGTCTGGTCATATTTTTCAATGCGATCATGTGGGGATCTTATGTTAATAGCTTGAAAGCTCTCTCGTCTCTACAAGCTACAGTTACAAACTTCGCTACCAATTTTCTGTCTTCGGGTCTAGCTGGATTCTTTCTCTTTGAGGAAGCACTATCATTTCAGGTAATCTAAGAAATTTATATTCAAGATGCATCTGGATTTCAAATATGGAATCTGATCACATCACTATCTCCAAGTTACATCACGAGTTATAGATGTTAAGAATATTAGAAATCTGTGTTTATTTTATGAAATTCACTAATCGAGTGCACAGTTATACATTTCAAAGTAAAATATTCTGTCATGCTTTGTGTCTGTATTTTTTTTTTTTTTTCATCGGGAAATAGAGATTACACTTCAAAATCAAAGAATTATTCAAAGTGCACACTTTCAGTATTTAGCATCATTAACACAAAAGGATGGTGAGATAGACGGTGATAGAACTTGTATAATTGGGCGCAAGTTGTACAAAATGGAGGCAAGCTAGTGGGTTTTGTGTGATAAATAAATGGTGAGGTAGATAGTGATAGCTAGTGGGTTTTGGGTGCAATTTGTATAAAAGGAAAATTTTATAGAAAAGTTATTAGGCCAACTATCTTATGTGGCGCAGAGTATTGGCCTTTAGATAAGAAGCAAGAACAGCGAATTCGTGTAGCGGAAATGAGGGTGCTAAGATGGACAATATGAGTCACTAGAAGAGATAGGTTACAAACCAAAAGTGAGGGAGAAATTAGAGTGACACCTATTAGTGATAAGATTAGAGAAAATAGACTTAGGTGGTATGGACACATACACAGAAGACCTATAGATGCACCGGTGAGAAGAGGAAGGTTAGTTTGCATAGAGGGTAGGAGACGGAGTGGGCGCCCGAAATTAACATGGGATGGAATCATTGGAAATGATTTTAAAAGGTTAAATATTAGAGGAGTGATGGCTTGTAATATAATATAATGGAAAAAAAGAATTCATGTGGCCTACCTCATTCATATGGGATTAAGGCAAGGATGATGACGATGGGAAAATAGAGATTCAAAATTAGGATATAATGGTACTTTTTGGGGGGTTAAAAAATAAGGATTTAATGTTGCAAATCTATTTTGGCATAAAAAACGGATTATATAAGTAAAATTTAACATTGTTTATAATCTATTATCTTGCTACTCGGAGTTCGCCTTACTAGATACTACCAACTTTGGGATTGAAGGTGCATAAAGATGCTGTTCTGTGTCAATTTACCAACATATCTTAAGAAAAATGGTTTCTGTTTTGAAACAATTGCACTTTATACTGCCATATGCACCCATGCAATGTAATTGACGTGGGCTAAGGGACTCTAATATCTTTTACCTTTGTGAAACCAGAAAGCAGATGTTGAACATAGCTGGTGAACTGATGTTTGGCATCAAGAATCTCCCGTGGACCATATGCCGTACTTCTGCAACTTTACTTCACATCCAGTTATATCACTTGCAGAGGCATGTTCCAGGTTGTATACTGGATTCCATTCATCTCCAATACTGTAGAAGTTTGGATGATGAGTGCCTTCTTTACGATGGCCATAAAAATTTGCTGACATGCACACTAGTCGCGCACGCGCACACACCTAACGAAAAAAATCATGTTCAGCAATTGAGTGCAAACCTATGTTCAAATCCCTGCCTGAGTAACCTGCATTATGTTTACCCATCCAGCACTAACAAGAAAAAGGACAAGTAATTTTTAATTTCCGTTGTTTTTTCCCTTTGAAATTAGATATTATTCTTGTTAATGACTTGTATCTGGTATATAGATAGAATCTGAGTAGTTCTGTTTCAGCTCTAATCTTCATAGGTTCATTTCTGAACACAAGGTTGCTCTTGCAGTGGTTTGCAGGTGCTCTGCTCATTGTACTCGGCGTACTAATACTGAGTAAGTCGAGTATAGAGGGGAAGACGCACAAAGCTTAGGTATCTGCTTCAATGGTTTTGCGTGCAGTCCCGTCTTTTAAGCTCTCTATTTGTTTTGAGACCGAGTAAAATCCGTGTTTGACATTGTTTCGTGTAAAACATGGATCAATGGCGGAAGATCTGTCATGGGATCAACAAATGCTATGGTGCTGATTTGATAAATGGTTCTGCAGGTAGGGTGAGAGTGAATCAATAGGCTGTATGTATAGCAACAAAAATGAGAGTAGGTGGTGCATTCAATAGGTGGAGTTTTCAGCACCTATAATAAAGTTACTATTTCTTATTAAAATTTATCCGACTTGTTTTTTTTTTGGGGACAAATGGTAGAAATGATAAATTTGCTAAGATACTTTCACCCAAATAATTAATTAATTTATTTTTCATTTTCCTCTCTTTACTTTCTTTTCTTTCCCCTCGTAATTAATCTACTTCTTTCTTTTCATCCTACCTATTCAAACAAACCTTTCCAGACTTTGAGTTTATTTGTCATGTAACTTGATATTCCTAAGAAATTATTTGTCATAAGACTTGATATTTAAGTATAAAGCGAAAAAAAAGTTTAATCAATGACATTGACTTATGCCTGAAGAAGTCAATGTTATTAATTATTATTATTTTTTTTCCCTCACTAATTTGAGTCATATATCTCATACAAAATACTATATATTTATCTGAATTGCTACAAATGCATTTTCTTACTTATTTCTCGATTCCCTTTTAAATGAAATTGAGGAAGAAAAAAGATGATTGAAAGTCCTTTCTCTAAAGGCAAAAATCAATAGGTAAATTTTAATTTCCAACTATGATTTCAAGTTTACTTGAATTTAATTTTTATTTTCCTTATTAATTGATTAAATTAAATCAGTGAATGGAATTAAACTTGCATGATATGGTTCCACATTAGCTCTCACGTGATCCTCCAAATTTCATTATTTTGCTAGTCCAATTGGCATTGTCTTTATTAAACTATCCTTAATTGTAGCAACTAGTGTCTCAATGTCAACCTGGTTGACTTGTGTTGAAAATTTTAATTTGTCTTGTCTTTTTCTTTCTTCCTTTCTTTTTATTTTATTTTCTATACTTGTTGCTTTCTTCTTGAAATTAATATTGTGTTCGATAAAAATGAAGGAAGTGGTGTGAAGAGAAAATAGGAAGGAAATAGAGATAATACAAAGAAAAATATGAGAATAGGAACAATGATAATCCATCTTTCTTCCTTTACAAATTCATCTGCCCAAAAAAAAAAAAAAAAACGGGGAAGACAAGTAGATTATTAGGGAAGTTTTAAATTAAATACTATCTTAGATTATATAAGTTTTAAATTACAGTATTATAAATTACAGTATTATTAGAGATTATCATTTATAAATTACAACATTATTCGATATAATGGTAAGAGAATGTGACTTCCATTCTTCTCTCCCTTCCATTCAAATTTTTTCTTTTCTATCGAACAAATCATAAGGGTCAGGATGTAGAAAACACCTCTAATGTATACTTCGCGTATCACTTTCACCCCTATTGAAAAAAGTATGCTAATAACCATCTATTCTTTTAACATTGTGTGGAAACACCCCTCAAACATAATTATGACATAAAGTAATGTTGTAATACATATAATTGCCATTTTTTTCTTTTGAAAATATCCAAGGGGATGTGTATGCTGATAATTTCAAAGTATAGGGGTGTTATGTGCACATTTAACCCAATTTTAAAGATCTTTCTCTCACCTTTACAACAAAAAAATAAAATAAAATAAAATAAAAAATTCTCTCTATATATTTATCCTAACAGTGTATTGTCTTTATGAGTTAAGAGTTATACATTTCATAAGACTTAATGTCCCCCATAAGGTAAAAAGTTATAACATATATATATATTTCTTTTGCTGACCAAATAGAGATAAATGGAGATTAAGAGTTCAAACCTCGACAGAGATATGTGTGTGTGAGTACCAATTATGAAATTAAAAAATGTGAAACGTAATAATACAAAAGTGTGATTTTAATTAGATATATATTTATACTTGCATTAGTCATCTCAATAGAACTTCTTTACTTTTTTTTTTTTTTTTTTTTCCTTTCTTTTAACTTAATTTCAAAATGGAATATAATATTGGTATTTCTCTGTCTCCAATGCAGTTCACTTGAATATTTCAATAAAAAAAAATGAAAATTTTGATATAAAAGTAAAATGTGAGAGTACTTTCGGAAATAGTAGTAGAATAAACATGTTCTAAACACAATAAAAAAATAAAAAAAAAAAGAAAAAAAAAAGGGCAAAGCCATCGTTGTTATAATTTTTTTTTTCTCTCATATGAACACCTCTATTAATATTATTTTTTTCCTTCCTTTTATATATATATATATATATATATATATATATATATATATATATATCACAAGTCATTTGTTCCATTATATTTAATTTTTTGTAAAAATATATTTTTATTACTTCATTTCACATAAAAATAAGTATTAATAAATAAAAATCTATGATTTACATTTTAAGATCTTTTATAACATCAATAAGAAAAATATTTAAAATATCTTCACAATGATCAACACATTAATAACTCGTCTCATTAAAAGGCCAAGAGACAATACTTAGCATTGAGGATTTACTGCTCCTTTCAATTAGAAGGATGAAAAAAATGGGTGGAAGTGGATAGAGAAGTTACCTTTTTTTATATATTTTTTTTATTGTTTGGTTGAATGAGATGAATAATAGAAGAGTACTACTATTGATAAATAGAAATTTATTACTTCACCAAGTCTATGTGGTTACTCATGTGTTAAATATTATGGACCAATTTTAAAATATAAGGTAATTAATTATTTAGAAAGTTGTAGTTCATTTTTTAGGTTTTATCTTTATTTAGTATCTTTGTTGGCGATTAAAATTTCAATCACCATATATATCAAATTATATACGTGTTTTATATATACATCACATTATATCTTTCTAACACATAGATATATCATATACTTAAAATTGCATCTCCTATATATAATTAGATAGGCATTTGTTCATTGTTATAATGATCAAAATTAATGATCTATGTGACCCTAGAAACAAAAACAAAGACAATAATTTCAAGAAAAATTACAAATCATTGAAAAATTGAAAAATATTGCAGTTTTTGTACCAATCAAATTATTATATTTGAGTACCATGAAAGATATCGTGAAAACGAAAAAAAAAAAAAAAAATGATACGGTTATGGAAAGGAGTTATGAAAATCTGAGTAGATAAAGAAAGAAAAATTGACATATTTTATGGAAACAAATCGGAGTAATAATTATGTTTATTTAACTTGAAATTTTATAATAACACGTCATATTTTTACCTATGTCAGTTTTAAGTCGAGATATTAAAGTCGTCAAACAAATCATTTCCCATAATAGAAAAAATAAATAGGTTCACATATTTTTTTTGGTCGGTAGGAATAGAAAAAGAATTTTTATGTTCTTTTATTAAATATACCCTATATAACAGGGTAAGCTTTAACAACAAATTTTTAAAAAAGGTTAAAAATAAAAATTACATAGTTGATGGTAATTAGCCTGCTTTTTTCTCTCCCATTCCCTCCAATTATGGGTGGATAAAAAAATAATGAAACATTTTTCCATCCTTTCTCTCTCTCTTTCCTTCCCCCCAATCAATTTTTTATTTTTTTAATTTATTCCCACCTCACGTGTGTGATTTACCTACTACTCGGAAAATAATACGGAGTAATAATAATAATAAAAAAAAATAAGAAGACCATTGACTCAATAGCTGACTCGGTATTTTTTATTTTTTTTTAAGAAAAAAAAATAAAAGAAAGAAGAAAAAAAGAACTGTAGTATTTAGACAGTTAATCATGGAAGAAACGGTAGAAGAAAGAAAAATAAAGAAAGGACAGTGACAGGTAAAACTGGAATAAAAAGTGGGTCTTCTTTGTCCCCTTCAACAACTCCTCTTCTTTCTTCAGACATTTTCATCTCCGATTTAGGGTTTTGACTCTCTCTCCACAACAATCCGTCTCTCCAACCGCACTCACTGTAAGCTCTGTAAACTCTTTGATGGCGTTCTGTTCTTTTAGCTTCGCATATTTGCTTCTCTGATCAGCATCATACTTTGTTCACGCCCACCTCATTTTCACGTCCACTTCATTGTTACAACTGATTTTTTTCACTAAAGTTTACATCTTGCATGCGTTGTTCTCTGTGGTGCTTAATTTTCTCTATGTTTGATTTTCCACCCCTCAATTCGTTCGTATGCTTTGGGTCTTTTGGTGTTTAGGGTTTTTCTGTGTTGGATTTAGCTTTTATTTCGACATAGTGAAATGAATCTGCAAACTTTATATTGAAGTGAATTGTGTTTTTCGTGCTTAAATTAAGCTCATGGTTAGATATGTTAAAATTACTTTGTGCATGTGTATCTCCTGGAATTTGTTTAATTGATCGACGAGTAATTCTTCATCCAAAGTTTCTCCTATTCTTAAGTTATTTCGGAATTTTAAAATTGAATATTTTGATGATGATTTGTGCTTAAAGACTTGGTCTTTGGTACTACGGATACAAATTATTCTATATATTGTGGCTAATTTTAGTTCAAGGTCAGAGGAATTTACTTGTGGATCTCTAAAATCCTTGTTTGAAGATCTTGGAATATGCTTCTGCTATTTTACATGGTTCAGGTTCCATTAGCTATTACTTTATTTTAATTTATCTTAAAAATTTGTATGAGTTGATGCAAATGGAGCTGAGGTTGTTTGCCCAAAGACTGACAGTCGAATACTTGAATCATATCCTATTTGCTTCCCTTTTTTGGCTACATAGACATTCAAAATGCTTACGTTGATACTTATTTAAAATAAAAAATAAAAAATGCTCGCGAGTTGATTTTATTTGGTATTTGTCCTGCATAAATTTAAGTTTGGATTTGTGTCAAATTGACGTGCTTTACTAGAAACTCATTGCACTAATGTTGGTTCATTTCCTTTGATGTGACAACCTTTCTGGATTTACGGAGTACAAGCTATCAGGATGAATGGCATAAGTACATAGAGCTAAGAAATGTAGGACAGAACGTAAAACTTAGCAGCTGGATGAATTTCTTTCTTTTCTTCACTGGAATTAGGCCTTTGAAATGAGATGTTCGTTACTGCACAAAAAGACTATATTTAATAGAAAGCAGAATAAATCTGCATGAATTTTCTTTTAGCTGCAAAATGGAAAGGAATTTTTGCTTATACAAGTTAGAAAATGGGGTAAATGGAAAGAGGAAAAAGATGCAGAAAGGAGAATGATGAGGAAGCTTAGCTTGGGCAAGTTTATACCTTGCCTGAATAATTTGACTTCTATTAATTTTATTTTATTTTTTTACCAATGGCCTCTCAACTAACTTACAGAGAGTCGAATAATATGTAAAATCTTCTTAAACTCACACTCCCTATCAAATCCATTAGCACTTGTTTTCCAATGCCACTAAAATTCTGTAATTTTTTGCTGTAATCATAAAGTAAAGCCTCGCATAACTCAAACTGTTGAAGTTTTTTCATGCTCCTGTAGTCACTGTGTCATGAATCAAATAATTCTCTAGGGATTTGTGTGTTAGTTGATAGTATGATTGAATGGCAGTATTAGTGGTATTGTTTTACCTGGATCTTAAACATAATTGGAGAACTTTTATGAACTTCCTGTCCTTTTATCCGGGTGATTGACGTGTTTTGTTCCTGTTCCTTTATCCATTTTGAATGCTTGCATACAAGTGCAATGAACTCTATTATGGTTGCATGATGGAGATGGCGCTAAGCATTTGCTATCACCTGCAGTATGTGGGTATAAAATAAGATCACTGGCTTTGATTAATATTTAGTTATGATTGTTAGCATATGGCACAAGCAATGCATTTGATATAGACTGCGATTAAAGACAAATCAGGTGACAATAAATAGTCATTATGAAATTCCAAACTGACTTATGGTGAAGCCATGTTATAACATATAATGTAAAATATCCTATTGCAACATTTTCTTACATCTTGGTGTTTTTTCGCACCCTTTTGTGTGCACAATGATGGTTGAATTATATCTAGATCTTTGGTTTATTTCCTATATTAAGTTCATTAAAAAAGTTGATAGAGTTGAGGCTGGTGCCTGTAGCCATACACCAGAAGTGTTTGATTGCTACATGCCTCACTACCTCGCCTGTTAGCAGTTAGCACTTCGTTCACTACCTACATCAATCTTGTTGATTAAGCCTTATCCATAATATTTTAATGTCATTTGCTTGGATGTTGTTCCCTTGCCCTCCTTATCTTTCTAATATGGGTGGTGCTTATGTATCCAAAGATTTAGATAAGTTGTGTAAAATTTATCAGTGTCATTCAGAGCTTCATGCTAAACAATCATGTGAATTGTGTATTATTGTGAATTTCTTGTTCAATTGATCACACTGAAGGTTAAAAGAGTTCCATTTCTGTTGTGCATTAACAAAATACAGCTTTTGTAAATTTGTAGTAACACTGACTATAACTATAAGAAAGCTAGACTTTAGGTGGTGTACTTGAAGTTGAACTGCCTCTGATGTCTTTTACTGTATCACCATTGGGTTCTCTGGTAAGGATGTTAATGAAACACCATTACCTTGGTGTGCTTATGCTTGAGAGTATAAGGACTAGTGGTTTCATCATAATATTATATACATAGAGGCTAAAAGATTTATATATTGATTGTGAGATGTGGGTTCTGTCAGGTGGAGAACAGTAGTCTTCTGGGGGACTGAAAGATTACCTTTCTAGTTGGTTTATGCATCCTTGTTTAGCCACTTAAGTGACTTGTCCATCTTATCAGTTTAATTTCATTCACTAACCTCTACCGCGCATGGGCAGCATCATCTGTTTCAGTAAGAGTGCTTTGGTTTCTAATGGCTTCCTTTGATTGTTGTATTTCTAAAATGATGGGGAACTCTGGCTGCATCCAATTACAATAGGCTTTCAGATTTAGTATCACAGAATTTTAAATGAAAATTGAACATTTACTCACTTTCTGCTATATTAATCCAAATTCTAGTTGGGTGAGCTCTGTTTCCCTTTTTGTGATCCTATCTAGGCCTAGCATGGCAGCATGCAATATGCTGCAAGGGTCACGTTATATGCTTGGATGCAAACTCGCTTTCGAAGTAATGCATTTTTGTACCTTCATATTGATACATGTGCTTGTGTTGAGGGTATTTTATATTGGGAGTCTAATGTCTTAATGGACTTTAAGGGTTCTTTTAAATGTATTTCCTCTTTTAGTTGCTGTCCTGCATAAACTTGCTGCTGATGTACATGCAGCAGTAAGGAGCAGCATCAGAGGATTTGCATTAAATGGCTTTTTTGATGACTGTATGAGCTCTCCACAGCTCTTGTTTTCTGTGTACTTCTGACATATGCCATTGATTCATTCGGCTTATTGATATCTGTCTTCCCAGGTTTGGGGCAGTTTACGGACGGATTATTAGGTAATTCTATTGTTACTGATTTTCAGTTTCTTGGATGCAATTTTGACTAAAATATGTTGTTCCCTTGCAGTTCTGTGTATTAAATTGTTATTCAATGCTGGATTCTTTATGCCTGATTTTATATTTATGCACGAGTAATTTTTTTACAGGGAAGATCCTGCTTTTACAGGGAAGATCCTGCAAGGGATGGGTTTCTACTTTTGATGTCTCTCTATTGATGGTAATTTAGTGGCTCATATTTTCCATTTACTTTGTTTTCTAATATTGAAAGAATTAAATTTTGTGCTCCTTTGTTCAGAAAGTATGTTCCAGAACTTCTAACTGACTTTTTTTTTTTTTGGTTTCAAAGGTTTGGTTAAAAGGGTTCTGAGACTGGGCAGCTGCTTGATACTCATTTCACTATGTCACGTTTATAGCCGAGGTTAAAAGTTGAAACTAATATCTGCAGCTGTTGCAGACTTTGGATCTCAGATGGATGACAGCGGTCATCGTGAAAATGGAAGGCATAAGCCAGCTCAGGGTCAGGTATCTAGATGCATGTAATTTATGCAAATAAATAATTGACTTTAATCCCATTTATTTCATTAGAGTTTTAAGCTGAAAACCAACACAAAGGTAACCTAGATGAATTCTTTGATAGGATAAGCGCTTAGAAGTGGTTCTTTCCAAACTTCCATTTCTGGTGGGTAGTTCCCTAATTACTTCTATTTCAGTGGTTGATGCAGCATCAACCGTCTATGAAGCAGATAATGGCCATTATGCAAGAAAGAGATGCTGCTATTCAAGAAAGAAATTTGGCCATGTCCGAAAGGAAGACAGCACTGGCGGAGCGAGACATGGCTATCCTGCAGCGAGATTCAGCAATTGGAGAACGAAATAATGCCATTATGGAACGAGACAATGCCATTGCTACTCTTCAGTATCGAGAAAACTCCATGAACAGTGGTAATGTGTCCCCTTGCCCACCAGGATGCCAAATTTCACGTGGGGTTAAGCATATGCACCATCCACAGCAGCATTTACATCATCAGGCCCACTTGGGCGAACCTACATACAATACAAGAGACGTGCACATGAGTGATGCCCTCCAAATGTCTCCAGTTGCTTCAGAGCCTCCAAAGTCCCGGCGGACTAAACGCTCAAAGGAGGCCAAAGTAATGACAACTATTAAAAAGGCTTCAAAATCTTCAAAGAGGGTTAAAAAGGAAGGTGAGGACCTGAACAAGATGATGTTTGGCAAATCAAATGCATGGAAGGGAGGACATGATGTGGGTGGCGGGGGTGATGACCTCAACCAACAACACATGGGCATGCCAAAATCTGATTGGAAGAATCAGGACCTGGGGCTAAACCAGGTTGCATTTGATGATTCAACCATGCCAGTGCCAGTCTGCTCATGTACTGGAACCCTGAGGCCGTGCTATAAATGGGGTAATGGTGGTTGGCAATCTTCATGCTGCACAACCACCGTGTCTATGTATCCGCTGCCCGCGGTGCCTAACAAGCGTCATGCTAGAGTAGGTGGTCGGAAGATGAGTGGAAGTGCTTTCAGCAAGCTGCTTAGCCGGCTCGCCGCAGAGGGGCATGATCTATCAAATCCAATTGATCTTAAGGACCATTGGGCGAAACACGGTACAAATCGCTACATCACCATCAAATAGATTTGTAAAGAATGTTGCAAATGTATGGAGGATAAATAAAGTCAGAGAACAGCATCCAATGATAAGGGTATGCATGCTCGAAGTAGGATGTCCAGCCTAATTATCAGTTACCATATTTTTCCGTCTCTGTGTCTTCTCCTCTCGCCATATAAAAGGATGTTGACAAAAGGATAAGGAGCTGTGTTCATGCTAATATGTCGAAATTGAACCATCTATTCATGCAACTAAATATAATTGTAAAGCAGGTTTGTATTTCAAATGTTGTTGTATTTGCATTGACCATAAATGTTTAATTTATCATAGGTGTTTTAGTAGGTGTTGCCACGTTGTGTCTCTAGAGTTTCTGGTTTGTCAATGTAAAATATGATGACATGCTTTTATAAATTTTGTAGCTGTTTGATAATCTAATGCTAAAGATGCGGTGGAAATCATGGGTTACCTTTTTTCTGGTTTTATTATGGTTTTATTATTATTAATATTTTTTGTTATCACCACTTGTGAAGAGATTGATGCATGAACTTTAAGATTGTTTCAGAGTTTTGAATTTATAATGTCATATAATTAAAGATCCACAGGCACAGCCTGAGTCAATGCACATGATTAAGACATGTCAAATCAAATCTGATCAGAATATGAATACAAACGGCAACAACAGCAAGACTGAAATTCAAAAAGACTAAAAAGTTGTTTTTTTTTTTTTTTTTTTTTAATTACCAATTAAAAACTCTTGAAATTCAGCTAATTAATTTTTCAATACTTAATTTTTAATTTTATCAAAAAGACCCCACTTAAATTTTTGATCGAAACGACACCACTTAAATTTTTGAAAATTCTCTAAAGACGATATAAATACAAATAAAAGCAAAAGCTTTGGAAATTGATAGTTTGTTACTTGTCATAAAAGAATTTTTTAAAAGCACAATCACCGACGCATAACAGGGAATTATAAACATAATATACAGATTTTTATTGTCATGAATCCCAAAAATAGAAGTACAGATGTTCTGGTTAACAATAACACAACCTAATTGTCGTACCAGATCACTAATTAATAATAATTAACTACTTAATAATAATTAAAGAAAGAATTTAATAAATAATGAAAGAACAAACTAGAAAAACCTACAAAAATACAGAATACACCAAACAAAACTAAAAGGTCCCTAATACCAAGCTTCCAAATCCTAATGCTGCCAAATGAGGTTTAAAATTAACCATCTGCATTGCTGGAACACTTGCACTGACGCAAAGATGGTATGAACATGGGGAATTTAAAATGGGGCAATGGGTGACTGGGCCATAAGAAGAAAAGAAAAACAAAAGTAAATAACAATAGTCACCTTTCTCAAAACTAGCTAAAAGCCTAAAACCATACTAGTATTTGGAATTCTCAACAAGCATACCACTCTATTTCATTCAATCTGAACTGGCAGAATGGAATGCTTTCAAACTCCTTCATAAGAATAAGAACTGTGTCAACTTCATAAACTTACCCAGAATAGGAGAAACTATAATGAGAAACTATAACAGTGTCAGGCCAGCAAAATAATTAGAATTCCCCTCCGAACTCGAAACCGAATTGCTTCAAAATCCATATAGTTGTGGCTTGTACTTCTTGTGTTGGGGCGTGGTACAGGTTTTGTTGTTAGATGGGGGGCTTTTTCTTTGTATTAGAATTGGTTGGCATCTACCCTGAGAAAGAGCTCTCATGCGTCCACTCCTTCATCGTCCTTGGTCCTTAGTGAAAAAAATCTTCCCGATAACTAGTGTCAATAGGGTTTCATAAAAAATTTATAAAAACACAGTAGCAAAGATTCATAATTAATACTAGACAAAATGATGTACTTCTGTTTGTGCCTTAATCAAATAGGATAAAATTCACAAGGAACAATTGCAGTTAAGCTTACAAACCCCAACAGAAGCTAAGTATTATGTATCTAAATTGTATTTTATTATTAATTATTAATAGACAAAACGAAACAACAGTAGAAAATGACTAAAATTACAGTGTAAAAGTGTCAGATCACAAGTATTCAGCACAACTATCAGACAGGGATAACTGTTAAATATTTGCTCTCATCATTCAAAAACACTAAATTAAAAGACATCTAGACAATAAAAACCAAACACACTGAGTGAGAATGTATAATCGCAATTATAATCCAGTCGATTACATTGTTGTATATATCAAAAATCACAAACTTATAGTTCAAATTTTTGCAAACAGAATTCCTAAAACACATGAAACATTGTATTGTTTAAACCTCAAAATACGTCACAGTAGAAAGAAAACACAAAAGCCTCAGACCGTCCTAGTTCAAAATTTTCAACACTAGAGCAAATATAGAAACTTGCATTTCGGTCTTATTACAAACTGTCATCATAGGCTAGCAATACAATGAATTACATAAAATACACAAGAACAAAACTTGAAAATCATCATGAGTAAAGGATGACCACAAATTCATTGTTAAACCAATAGAATAAAACTTAATTGACTGCTCGGACAAACTCTGCATTTTATTATTAATTATTAAAAGACAAAACAAAACAACGGTAGAAAATGCCTAAAATTACAGTGTATAAGTGTCAGATCACAAGTATTCAGCACAACTATCAGACAGGGATAACTGTTAAATATTTGCTCTCCTCATTCAAAAACACTGAATTAAAAGGCATCTAGACTATAAAAACCAAGAACCCTGAGTGAGAATGTATATTTGTTGTATGTATAAAAAATCACAAAGTTTAATCTTTTGCAAACAGAATTCATATAACACACTACGCATGCATTGTTTAAACCTCAAATACATCACAGTAGAAAGAAAACACAAAAGCCTCAGACCGTCCTAGTTCAAATTTTTCAACAATAGAGCAAATATAAAAACTTGCATTTTGGTCGAATTACAAACTGTCATCATAGGCTAGCAATACAATGAATTACATATTATGCACAAGAACAAAAGTCGAAAACCATCCTGAGTAAAGGATAACCACAAATTCATTGTTAAACCAATAAAATAAAACTTACTACTAATTGATTACTTGGACAAACTCTTCCAAAACAGTGGAAACTATAGTAGTGTCAATTCTATAGACATGAAGACAAAAGCATAAGAAGCATTCTCAATTGGTATTAATAATGTTTCATACAAAATCTATAGAAACCAACCAAACAATGAGACCTAATCATTGTTTCTACCCCAAATACTATTGAATTCCCAGGGAACCATTAAAATAGTTATGATTCCAAAATCAGGGGGAAGCTAAGTATTCTGTATCTAAATTATATAGTATTATTTATTATTAAAAGACTAATAATAAAACAACAATAGAAACTGCAAATTACAGTGTTTGTGTCAGATCACAAGTATTCAGCACACAACTATCAGACAGGGATAACTGTGAAATATTTGATCTCATCATTCAAAAACACTGCATAAAAGATATCTCTATCTCTAAACTATAAATATCAATAACCCTGAGTGAGAATATATATGTCAACCACAAAATTGCAATTCAATCTTTTACATTGTTTTTCTTAATAAAATCAATAATCTATGGTTACAAAATAATACAATTCCTGAACAAACACAACATGTACTCTGGCATATACAAATTACAAGAGCCTCAGACCGTCCTAGTTCAAAATTTTCAACACTATAGCAAATATCTAAACTTGCATTTCGGTCAAATTACAAACAGTCAGCTAGCTACGCAATGAATTACATAGTATATAAGAATAAAACTTGAAAACGTTGACCACAAATTCATACTAAACCAAAATAAATAAATAAAGAAAAAAATGTCTGGTTTTGCCACCCTATCTATGCCGCAAAAAGTTATCCTCGAAATATAAATCAAAACACGAACGATATACACCAATATAAACTTCTGTCAGAAAAATAAGACTAATAATGTATTTCTATATAAAATGTATTTCTATATATAGATAGATGCATATGTCCTCGAAATATAAATCAAAACACCAACTATATACACAAATATAAACTTCTATTTCTGAAAAATAGGACTGATAATGTACTTCTATATATAGATATATGCATATGTATGTATGAACAAAGGATTACAAAGAGATATATGGACGCATCAGATCTTCCTATTCGAGTGAGAATCATAATACCCAAATCAATGTATGAGTATTCAACTCAAAAAAGCTCATCATTTGGTCTCTTTACTCTGTGTAAACATAAAAATTAGTACCTTCTCAATATCCACTTTGTCATCCAAGGCAAAAAAAGAGACGAATCCGAACTAAAAATTGCAAAAATTGAAAAACAAATAAATAAAACTTGGATTTCAAAATAATTTCTGAGTCTTATTTCAGAATAACCAAACGGAAAAGCGGAGGAAATAGAATTGAGACTTAGAGATCTGACGAACGACATGAATTCGTTTCGGAGATCCAAAACGGAAGGATTAGGGTTTTTGTGGAGGTACAAAGTAGAACGGCGAAACAAGATTTGGAATATAGGGTTAGGGTTTTACCCGCTTGTGATGTGAGTGATTTTTATAGGGTATTTTGTTGACGGTTCCGTGAATCAAGAACAGAGGTTGGATGATCCGACGGACGTGATTAATCGCCATTGAAACTTTTGTGGCCCCACCTAATTACGTGAGAGTTGGTACTATTGAGCTGCAAGCAGGCCTTGATGTTTAGGCCTACGTAGAGGTAAACCCAAGGGACCATAGAAACCCACAAAGTGATTGAAAGAAGTGAGTTAGATTGGGCTTGATTCTGGCCCAGTTAGACTAATCCAGTGAGACATTATGTTTCGAAAATATGCACAACTACAGAATGGATCTCAACTGAACTGATCCGATTTGATAATTCAACAAATTTTTGTGAATAAATTCATATATAATTTATTATTAAACTGAATTTTTTCCCTTCCTTGTAGGGAAAAGAAATTCTACTGACTATTCATAGCCAAACAGAGCTTCAAGAACCCTCACCTAACAATTGAAAAAGTTATTAAAAAATTTCCTTCTGGAGCTAAATCAAATTAATTAATCAAAATTCAACAATTATTTATGTTAATTGTGAAAATACTTGTAGACACTATATATGATATAACTTTAATGCTCCATCCGTTACTAAGGAAAAAAAAAACATGGAAGGGAACGTATATTCCTTTATCTCTCTCTCTCTTTTTGTTTTTTTTTTTTTTAATGGATATTAAAAATTATGGATGACATAACACATTTTTATATTTAGTTAAAAGGAAGGAAATTCAATTAATACACCAGTATCACTTTATTTTAAATGATTACGAAAGATAGTATTGTCTCCGTCCAATTTTGTAGGAAGCGGTTGTTATTTTTTATTTTATTTTTTTAAAAGAGAGTAAGCGGTTGTGTTTTTGACATCTACTCTAAACTACATTGAGTTGGAAAGTGTTTTGGACAACTGCAAGTCCATATTGTAACATTAATTTTTAATAAATTACGAGTATGAGAAGGCGGAATCACTATTTATAGTCACACCAATTTTGAGCATTGGCGAATTCAAAGGGGGCGCATTAACGGATTCGGTGGCTTGGGTGTGCTCAAGCCCACCCAAATTATTATTATTATTTTTGACTATATCTAATTTTAGCACCGTCTAAACAAAATTAAATTATTACTAGTATTAATTTACTCCATTAACAATTTTTGAATCGGTTCTTAATTTTTGAGTTAGGTACGAAAATGTACGAATGCAGCAATTGTGAAAGTAATACTCCCTCTGTCCCAATATAAGTGTCACTTATGGGGAGTAGTAATTTTTAAGGGGATATATGTGATGATGTATTGTCTGCCTGAAAAATTACTAAGTTGCTCTTTTAAGTTTTGAATATAGAAGTTTGAAATTTAGATTCAAAGGACATTTTTGAAATGATGTGAAATATATTATTTGAAAAAAAGAAAGTAAACACTTATTTTGGGATAGTTAAAAAAAGAAAGTATGACGCTTATTTTAGGAAGGAATTACTATTTGTTTGCAAATTGTAATTTTTTTTAACGACCATTTTTGAAATAAATTATGCATTATTTGAGATGATGGAGAGTAAATGTAAAAACTTGCTCTGTCAATTCAGTTTAACAATTCTTGACTTTTCATCTCATAAACAGTAAAACCTACTAAATCTACACAAATAACCCCTCCTTTCAAAACTGTTCATCTCGCCCAATGCCATAAAAAGAAAGGGCAAACTAAAAACCCAATTGTGTCAGCCTACCCTATTTAAATGACCAAGCAGCCCATGCTAAAGTGATAATGTATCTAATTGCCAAGGGCATTTTTGTCATTCCGTATAAAGAAATTGTCAGGCAAAAAAGCACCTGCCCTAAAACTTCCCACCAGACAAAACTCGCGGGAACCCATAAACCCTATGGACAAAAAGGAAAGGAAATCCAGTGACAGGGACTTGGAAAAGAAAAGAAAAGAAAAGAAAACGAAATTGAAATGAAAATGAAAAATTTATGGAAACAAAACAGTGACTGTATCAAAACTATATCCACTCACACTCTCTCTCCACAATTTATTTCCTTATTAATAAAGTCATATTCTAGGAATACACCAACAATCCCTTTTTTTCCCCTTTCTATATAAACTATACCATATTAGCACCATTTTGAACGCATAGGGTTTCCTTGTTATATCTGCCTGATCTGAAGGAAAACCCTAACCGCCGATTCCTTCCAACTAGCCGTTACCCGATTAGTTCTCCGTCGATTTTGTTTATCTTCCTCCGGCTATTCGCCGTCCACCGATTAGTAGCCGTTGGATCTATCATTTTCGGTTGCATTTGGTTGTGTGTGAGTGATTTTTTGAATCTTTCTACCGTTAGTTCGCCGGAGACGATTGGAGATGTCGGTGGTGGAGGACGAGAAGAAGGTTGAGGAGGAGGAGGAGGCGGTGAAGGGTGGAGAGCTGTTGTTTTGTGGTGCTACGAATTGGAACACCATTGGCCGGAGCAAGAATGCAGATGGGAACTTGCCTTCTCCCACTCGGCTTCGACCTCTCGTCGGCGTTAACATTTGGTTTGTTGCCGCGGGTGGGGGTGAGCATCGTATCATCTGTTTCTCTTTGAATATAGTATATGATTTCTGTTGCTTTCTTTTGTAATTTGTGTCAAGGTGGAACTTTTATAGACTTTCCCTGTCATTTGTAGTGATTTTTCTTTGTATATTGTGCTTACAGCATCCTGTCATTGTGTTGCATTGGATGTTGAAGGTCGTTGCTACACTTGGGGTCGCAATGAGGCATGTTGAATCTTAAATGTGAATTTCATTACTGTATGTTGGTTACTTGTTCTTTTGCTTTCTTATCTTAAGAAGCATTTCTTTGTGCAGAAAGGGCAACTTGGTCATGGAGATAGAATACAGCGTGACAGGCCAACGGTTGTGTCTGAACTGTCGAAGTAAGCTGTTATTTTCTTTTTTGGGTTACTGCAAGTATTGATTTTGGTGATTTTTTTTTTCTTTCTTCTTGTTCTCAAAATGTTCAGGGTAGTTCCCATTTTGACACTGCCTCTCGTTTTATCACGGATTGTTTTGGGTTTGAGGCAACAATTTTTTTTTTTTTAATTGCACCCAAATATTGAAAATTAAGGTTAACATGCATGAACAGGAGCATACAAGATTTTTTTTTTTTTTTCTTGGTGCTGCACAAGCAAGTGTAATGGACCTTCCCTCAAAATTGGGCAGGAGAAAGGTACTCCCAATTACTAAAACAATCCAGTACACACTCAGTTCAATACGATGACAAACAATAAATATCTGGTGAGGCAGTGGTAGGTTGCGCATCTTGCCTTAATTTTGTTGCAAGATTGCACTTGAACCACATTGCAGACTTTGTCTCAAACAATCTAGATTTAGCCTGTGTTCCATATTGTTTTACCTTAAGGAAAATGATAAGGGGGTCGAAGTGTAACCCCCGAATAAACGACCGAATGTTCCGTGGCAAAGCCACGTCAGATTCTATAAAACCTCTTGCATGTGATTAAAACAGCCACCGGCTTTGACCTTGAAGAACTTTCCCGTCAAAAACAGAGAAGACCGGAGACCGGAGATCTGGAGAAGATGGTGGGATCTCCGTCGGGGCTAACCTTCCAGATGTAGTTGTTGGCTATGTTGGTGGGGTCGTTGAAGGAGAGCGAGGAAGATGCGGATGCGGATGCGGAGACCGAAGATCTGGAGAAGATGGTGGGATGCGACTGTGATGGACTCTGGCATTGATGAGGTCAGTGAGTTTGGTTTCACCGATGTGGCGGCGGTTGTCTGGCCTGAACCCTCGGCAACAATGTCCGCCTTCTCTTCTTCCCGCCCCTTCCTCTAGCTTCCCCCTCTGCCTTTGCAGCTGAAGGACCATCCTCATCACCGGCGACAATTGCCGAAGCTCTGACGATCCGCGAATCATCCATTTCGTGAATTGAATCAAGTAAAGCTTCATCAGTAAATGGGTTCTGAGCTTCCATGCGGAGCTCGACTTGACTGAAAGAATTGAATTTTTTGTAAAGTTAATCATTGGCTAAGCCCAGTGAAGAATCCACAAATGGTGCATGCATAACAAGTAAATGATGTTCTGGATAGAGTCCTATAAAAACATAAAGGCACAACATAAAAAATATTAGGCAAGTAGAACATACAGCAGTTCATGGTTTGTACTTCTGCAAGAACCAAGGAATGATAGGGAGAAGAAATCCCCCATGTCAAGGAAAAGAAATGTGCAAGAAAGGCAATTAAAAACTTCAATCACTTTTTATCGAGACCCAATAGAATAAAGATCCCAATCAATCTAACATGACACAACTTTTAACTCGGTTGAAATTTCCATTCTCTAGATCCCAGAACAACATAAAAAATGGGATTCTTAATTTAATTTCTTTTGCTTTTCCTCAAATTTATCATTTGTCATCAAGCAAACCGTGAACCACCGTCGTGAACCGCCGCTGCCCATCATCGGATCATCCCCATCGCCAGTTGCCATTTGTCTCATCGGAGATCGAGAAGTCGTCGTCGCAGATTGAGTTTCTTGACGGCGATGATGACGCCACTGGACATCAGCTGGCCGTTCAACCTAGATTCGCCACGGCCGAGCCCCGAACCGCCCTCACCTAAACCGCCCGTCACCGCCGTTGTGAGATCACCTTCCCTCCTTTCTTTTTTTATTTTTTTATTTCTTTTACCTGCATTCAGTTGTTTTTTCGGAGGATACCTTTCGGTTCCCCTATAACTGCCCTTACCTTAAATATTGAGTTAAAAGAATGGAACTAGACCAAACTATCAGAGCTGTAAACCTCTGTACGTTCTGCTCCGGGAAGATTGAGAAACTATGCTGGTTACTATATGTTTTTCTATCATATTGTGGTCTTGTAGATCATGACAGGTCGTTATAATGAGTTCTGCAGTTTCACGTACATTTGTTTTGGGTGCATGTGTTTGTAACTATCTTTATCACCACCTGACAAAATATATATATATATATATATATATATATATATATATATATAGTTGGGAATTGTGCCTCAAATTCCTAACAATTAGGTTTTTATTTTAGAGTTGTATTATGATAGAAAATTTCTTATTAAGCAAGTCTTGGACTCTAAGAAATTGTAATCCTTGTCCAACAAGGAATTGGGTTTGGAACTCTATAAATAGGCACCTAGGTTATGGGTTGAGACTTATGAGATTGAGAGAGATGTAATCTCAAGAGGGAATTGATGGCTAGAGATAGTGTGTGGGTTAGTAGAGTAAGAAAAACACCGGTGGCGCTGGTAGCGAGAAGATAGGCTCGTGGAGTGGTACATGGTGAAAAGACATGTACGTGGTGTTGGTATTCTATTGTCCTAATACATCTAGGAATCATAGTGGAATTTCTTCTCATCCGTGGATGCAAGCCGGTTTTGGCTGAACGATGTTATTTCTTGTGTTTCTGTGTGATTGATTTGTTGGCTTTCTTTGGGACTATTTGTTCACATGCTTCCACTGCCCTAACCTATATATATATATATATATATATATATATATTGATTAATAAAAATGTATATGAGGTTTGTTGGTTTTTTAGTCTGGTCACACGCTATTGTCAAATGGTTATTACAGGACAAAGTAATTTGATTACGACTGGGGGTATGGTATGTGTGGAAGAGAGAAGGGAAGCCAGACTCCTTATTTAAAATGTAAATTCATATATGTGTTGTATGTATGTATGTATTAAGTTTTTTAAAGACTTTTAGATTTTTATAGAATAGCAGCTAAATTGGAATATGAACTCGTTGTGTGCTTTGCCCATTCCATCTCCATGTGGTAAATATTGAAAATTACTAGTGTAATTAGATTTTTGACATTTTATTATTTTTTTGCCCAAATGACTATTTCTTTATTTTCTTTCTTTCCTTTTCAGGTATAAAATCATTAGAGCAGCGGCCGGGAGGAACCATACTGTTCTAGTAACTAAAGATGGCCTCTCATTATCATTTGGCTTGAATAAACATGGACAGTTGGGTTTAGGCTCACTTAAAAATGGTATGTTTTCCGCACCACTTCCCGTAACCAAACCAAAAATGAAAAAAATAATGTTTTGCTATAACAATATCTTATAATATTAAAATTTTCTTTGATGAAAGAATATGTGACTTTCGTAAGGTTGAGTCACAACCACCAAATCAATCTTATTCTAAATGTACTTGTATTGATTTAATATTACTCGTTTTTGTTGACTTCCCTTCCCTATTTGAGAAAAATTTCGGTGAAGGGGAAGACTAATTATATGGCCATTTAATTTTTTTTCATTTAGGTCATGAGAAGTGATCTTGAGGTATGTGATATTGTTTTACTTATCAAAAAAAAAAGGTATGTGATATTGTTTTTTAATGGTCTGTTTGGTAAGAAGAAAGGATGGAAGGAAAGGGGTGAAGTATAGAGTTCTGATGGTTGGTGGAAGGGAAAGGAGAAAGAAGAGGGAAATGGCCTTTTCTTTTGGAGCCTCCATATTTCTTCCAAAAGAAAAGGAGTGAAAAGGTTTCCATTTATGTTTTGGCACTTCAAAATGGCAATAATCTTCATTTAATATGTACTGGTATGATGGTAAAATTGCCTAATGCCATTTGTTTTTCTTCCTCCATTCTTTTCTTTTCAACCAAACAGAAAAAATGAAAGGCTTCTTTCTTTCCCTAGGGAAATCTCTTGCATCCTTCTCGCCTTCCTTTTTCATCCAATTTCATTCTTTAGGCAAAAAAGTGTTAACGGATATTGTAGAAGGGCATTATATGATGGTTCTTGTATTTTTTTTTTTCAATCTCCAAAAGAGCTTGATCAAGAGTTGCGGAAGCCAATGGGCTGAAAGATAAGAAAGAAGCAAAATTGTTGGGTGTTTTATCATTAGTATTGTACTGATTGTTGTATTATTGTAGTTGTATATAATCAAGAGCGCTGTCATCAACCAGAACTTGACATGTTTAACCCCCAAGGCCTAACAACTAGTGTTGCTTGGTCATCGAATGAAGTTGTCCTTCAGAATTTATATGCCATTTAAAAGTAGACATGATTATTTTTGGTACAAGATAAGGAGGCTTTGATGATGTTGTAATTTTATTCTCTCTTTAATGTATGAAACCTGATAATAAATGATTGATGTTTTTATTTTCATCAAAGATGAGTTACTATTTATGTTCCTCTGGTATAGGCAAATTAGAAGAGAGGGGTTGGGGTGAAGATGATGGTGTTTAAACTCCTAGAGGAACTAGAACTTAAGCATGTGGTATCACTACGAATCTGCCTTCATAGCTAAGCTGGCTGGCATCTTAAGGGGTCAGAATTGTTATAACTATGAGCCATGATAAAGTTTCGTGTCTTCTGTTCCTGTAAAATTAGGGGTTGGTATTTCTAGAAAAACTAAGAATTTCCACATGAGATCATTTTCTTCATTCTGTTTTTTACATTATAAAGAGGGAAAGATTGATTGATAGGATTCATATTGGGCAGTGTTAAATCTCCTGTGTCAGGAGGTTCTTTTGAACTATCGTGTGGTTGAGCTTTGTTATTCAAATTGAAGGGAAAAATTCACAATCTGGTTATGAATTTAGTCATTGTTTGTGGTAAAAAAAAATTGTCAATGGTAAGAGGCCAATAATTAGCGTAGATGATGTAAGGAAACCGGGATAGATGGATTGATGAATTTCTGATTGATGCGGATTGCAGCAATTGTCAATGTATTGATGAGGTATTATTACCTTTTTAATTGTGAGATGAGGACATCTCTACTATATAAAGAGGGAAGTTGGAACTCCAAGTGCATGTAAGTAGGTTTGGAAGCAGCAAGTTATAAGGTATGGCAACGGTTAATTGAAAATGACTTGAATTATTGATCGTGTTAGAATTATTGTGTCATAATATGACCCTTATATCCACATCACCACAGTATTGAGTTACAATTCATCCGTCGGTGTGAAAACTGCTTCTTGCTGCCTCCCTGGCATCTTCCCATTTTTAGGTCCTGAAACACATTTTTTTCTTCACAGGAGGGAAAAGAAAAATGTGAGAAACCCATGTTGAAGGGACTTGGTAAAGTGACTTTGTAACTTCAGGAGGGGAGGCCCTAGATGCATTAGTGTTTGGCACATAGGGTAGAAGTGGGTAAGGGCATGATTTTGATTTGGGTAAGGGTACGATGATATGTCTTACATCACTTCTGATGTAGTACTTTATTAGTTCCCCACATCTTTTTTTTTATTTTTTGTTTTTTTGTGGACTTGTAATGTGCATATGTACTGGTTTTGGAGGCTTATTGATTCTAAATCTGTTTCATTATTTTGGGTTTACTGAGAGTAGAGTGAAACTGTAGAGTTGGATTCATGTAGCCTTCTGATAGTTGTAGAGATGAGTCTTTTATGACTTGGGGTTTGATGTGAATAAGGTACAAAGAACTGTCTAATATCTTTCCTTATGTATAACACTGTATTTTAATATATATATATATATATATATATATATATATATATATGGTTTCAATGATGCATACATTTTGGTGACACAAGCTTGATAATGAATTTATTGGCAAATCAGCTTATAACAAGTATGCTTGCCTTTATTTTTGTTTCATATTTTAGGTTTTCCCCATGTGATTCAATGGGCATCCATCTCTAGATAACCTTTTAAACTTAGAACGATATTGGTGACTTCTAATTCAGTTTTATAGTGTTCCAGATACCATGTACCCAGCTGTTGAGTTTTAAAGAGCATGGACCCGAGATTGCTGCATATGAGATTTTGTATAAATTTGAACCGGTTTGCTAACTTTCTATTTTTATGCATTTTCTTTCTCAAGCTAATAGCATCTCGAAATTTATTAAATTTGAATGTTTTAAATCTTCAACATGATATTTATAATTGCTTGTTGCATTGGTAAAAACTTGGGCTGTCTTGTCTGAGAATGCGGGTTTGAACTTTGAATCATTAGAGAAGCCACTTTGTGCAAATAATGTCAATGCCAGGGATGAATCTGGTCTACACCTCCCACCTCCATCGATTAATGAGACCACACTTGATAAGGACACTTTAATATTAAAGAATGCCAAAGTTGCTTTCATTTCTTGGAAGACATTCCAATTTTTCTTTTATTTTTTCTTGACTTCTGCAATATTGAGTCTGAAATTTATGTTTAGATTCTTCTTGTGGTTTGATACTTTTACAGTTATAAGTGGTACTTGCATGTATTTGTAGGTCTCCAAATTGTGTCAGGCTCTTCATGACATCTACGCCTCTCTTTTTTGTAGAAGTTGAATCGTCTCCCGTTCGTTGTCTTGTATCTGATGTAAAAAATATTGCTTGCGGAGCTGATTTTACTGCGTGGTTAACTTCTGTCGAAGGAGCTTCTATACTGTATGGTTTGTTGATTGGCATTTGTCCTTATTCTTTACTGGAAAATGTTATTTGTAAATTGGAGCTGTTGACCTATATGGCTCTGAAGTTTTTATATTCCCCTATTCTGAAAGAAAAAAGAAGAAGGAAGTTCATATTTCAATCCGGTATCTCTGATTTGATTACTGTTTCTTGCTTTCTAGAACTGCTGGTCTTCCACAGTATGGTCAACTTGGACATGGAACGGACAATGAGGTACGTTAAAAGAATGATCTGTTTTGTAAGTTTCAAACTTTTAATCATTGAAATGTGGACACTATTACGCTTAGATATAGCTGTTTATAGACAATAAGTGTTAATCATTTAGCAACAGTTACGTGGCTGAATGTGTTCGTCTCTGTATTTGAGAAATTAAAATCTAGAGATATTTTTATAGTGTTGGAATGTTGCCTTTGTCATACTTAAAAGTCAATGGCGACCACAGTGTGGTCTGGATGGGAACTTGCTTTGTCCCAGCCGTGCTAGTTTCCAGTTGTTCAAGCCCCCTTTTGCGACCATGGCCTTTTGTTAGGAAGAGAGGATTTGGTTATAGTTTATGGGCTTGGTAGTTGGCGTTGGTTGTGTTTGGGCATAGTAAGAACTAGGCACACTTTGTATTGTAAACGAAGAAGGAAATAGGAGAGAGGAGATTGAATATGTACACTCTTTTGTTATTTATACAAAAGTTTTATTTCTATTTTTTAACTTACCAAAGAGCTGATTGTAAATTTTAGAAACTCAATGATGTTAGATTCTGTAAATAGCCCATTGCATACTTGCTTTTTTAAATTTTAAAATTTGAAGTTGCTCTCTAGATTTCTAGATGGACCTTTCATTATTGATATTGTCAGCTCATGACCCTGCAGCCTGCAAGATTGGGATATCATAAGGAATATGGGTTTTGAGTCCCTGTCTTCTTTAATCCCTTTCTTTTATTTAAACAAATAATTGGAATATCATACGATTTTCTTTTTTTTCGTATTGTTATCTTATTAGAGTGAGCATGTGCAAGTTTTCTTGAATATCTGGAAGAGAAAAAGGGAGTTTATACATTTGGAAGCAAACATACATAACACTTGAGTACTTACATATGAAGTAACTGTAACACGTGGTACTGTGCATCATTCAGTTGTATGTTTTATTTAGTGAATAATTCATCCATGTAGTGGTCTCATCATAAATATATTGTGCAGTCTTTGCTAGGGGTGGCAATTCGTGTTGACGGGTCGTGTTCGTGTAAACACAATTATGACACGAACACGATTAGAGTCTACACAAACACGACACAATTATTAACCGTGTCAAGATCCCTTGACACGAACACGACACAATTATTATACGTATAACACGACACGACACGCGTAACTCGTTTAATAAATGAGTCAAGACCACAACACAAAATGACACGAAAAAACACGTTCAAGTCATTTTTTACATAAACATGACACATTTAGCTAAATAGGTTATTTTTTACACGAATACGACACGTTTATCTGACACGTTAAGTTAATCGGGTTAATCGTGTTAGTAGTGTCGAATACGACACGTTTAGTTAACGAGTCAATTTGTGTCGACACCATTACGACCCGAACACGATTAGCTCAAACCCAAACACGATTAGCTCAAACCCAAACACGATTAGCCCAAACTTAAACACGACTAACACAATTAACACAAAAAAACATGTTAAGTCATTTTTTACACAAACACGACACATTTATTTTACACGTTGAGCTAAATAGGTTATTTTTTACACAAATACTACACGTTTATCTGACACGTTTAGTTAATCGTGTCATAATCGTATTAGTAGTGTCAAACACGAACACGACACGTTTGGTTAACGAGTCAATCCATGTCGACACAATTATGACATGAACACGATTAGTCCAAACCCAAACCTTCTTATCTCGTACCGTGTTCGTGTCATGTTAGCGCGTCGTGTCAAATATTGCCACCCCTAGTCTTCGCACCTAGGAAGGAAATGGACATTTTACCCTTTTCTATATTGTGAAACAGGAGTGGGATCTTGGCAGGCACATTATCTTGCCAACAAGTGTCCTACTGTATGAAAGCTAGCCATTGAGGGGGCAGCAGTCTGATTTGCAAGCAATCATTGATATATATCCATATACACACTCATTATGGTTTATTAATCCCTTCTAAAAGGGCACACTTATTCACAATAAAAAATGTGCATATGTATACTCTATTAAAAAAGAAGAGGAAGAAATTTGTATGCATGTATCTCCCACTACAGAACATAGAAAATAACTATAACATATAGAATTTAATCATATATATGTTAGTCATAAAGTAACAAATAAAATTATGGCTGCACACACTGTACATCTGTTCTTCCCATTTGTCAAGTAAATGGGTCACATGGTTATATATGCCAGGCTTGGGAAGATTTTTGTTGATGCATTTCATGTCACAGAAAGCATCGATGTCTTTGACATAGTTATTGATGGTTAGAAATGAGATGCATGTATATCCATCAATGTGGATGTGTTCGAGCATGCATCTTCACATGTGTATAATATCTATTTGATTCTGATTTTCACAAAACGCTTGATTTGCTTGCAGTACAATACTAAAGACAGCTCTGTGAGGCTTGCTTATGAAGCCCAACCACGCCCTAGAGCCATAGCCTCTCTTGCTGGAGAAACCATTGTTAAAGTTGCTTGTGGAACAAACCATACAGGTTGCATGTGGATCCTGCTTATTCTGCCTGTATAGCTTGCATGATGCGCATTTTACCTTATATTTTATTTATTTATTTATTTTTTGTGCATTCAGTGGCGGTGGATTCGAAAGGCTATGTTTACACGTAAGTTTGCTGCAGTTGATATGGTTTTGTTTTATTTTTTAAAAATAAAATTTTCCCAGTTCAAATGATTTTTATCCATCTGACTTTTGATAATTCTTTTGTGGACGTTTTTAGGTGGGGCTTTGGTGGTTATGGGAGGTTTGTACTTCAAATTCCTTGATTCTCATTTTCCACGCTGTGTACATTCTACTAAAAACACCAAATTATTCTAGATACCGGATATATTTTGAAACTTGAGTTTTCTCTGTGCTTTTTAAAAAAATTTCCATTTCTGTCCTCTTCTTGGTTACTGTTGAATGTGACTACTTGCGCGTTGTATTAGGCTTGGACATAAAGAGCAGAAGGATGAGTTTTTACCTCGTCGTGTTGATGTTTTTACAAAGCACAATGTTTTGCCTCCTGATGCAATAGTTTCAGCTGGTTCTGCCAACTCCGCATGTACTGCTGGTATAGATTGCTCCTTCTATTTGTGTTTTCCCAATCTTATTCTTCATGGGCCAGTGACCTAACGGTATCAGGCTCTTACTTCCCAAAGGGAGGTCAAGGGTTCAAACCTCAGTGGAGGCATGTGTGTGTGAGTACCAACTAAGAAAAATATACTATATATATATATGTATATATATTTATATATAAATTACTGAAATTTATGCATATGTAGGATTGCTGATTGCAGGAGTATTTGACCCTTGTGATTATATTTCTATGACAAGTTTCCAGTGCAATTATATTATTAAGTTTTGTTTGTTTTGCTTTATATGCGCCCTTGATGGGCTTTTAAATGCTATTTGAATATAGTATTACTTACCTTGCTTGTAAATATTAGATGTATATATTATTAATTACCCGAGGATCAAAACTCTTAACTTCTAGAAATATGAACTTCTAGTCAAAACAAAAGTTTTGAATTGGTCGAGCTACTATGTAGGAATCAATGATAATGACTTGTAGTGAAACATTTGGTCTTATTGACTTCCTAGTTTCTAATTTCTGATAGGTACTTTTCTTTTTGTCTTCAAGCTCTGGAAACCAATAGCGTTCATGCTTCTCTTTCATTTTTCCCTTTTCGGGTGGGTGGGTAGTGGTGATGTAGTTTTCATGGGAGGAATGAATTGTTCAATGTTTTTTTAAGTTGCTACTTGAGTGGGTTGGGAGGTCAACCTAGGTTCAACCCAACGTGCCCGTCTTCACACGGGGTCTAACCCCCATCTGGATGTAATTACCTCTAGTCAGCTTGAGTTACTGTTTGAGCTCTTGTTGAACTTGGTTTTCTTGAATTAGATTTAAAGAAGCAGATAGTGGAAAGGGAAAGGCTAGATTTTGTTGATTTAAAAAACCTAGGTTCAACCCAACTTACCCATCTTCACACGGAGTCTAACCCCCATCATGATGTAGTTACCTTTAGTAGCTTGAGTTATTGTTTAAGCTCTTGTTGAACTTGTTTTTCTTGAATTAGATTTAAAGAAACAGATAGTGGAAAGGGAAAGGCTAGATTTTGTTGATTTAAAAATCCCTCTCCACAGTAATAGAACATAAAAAATAAAAAGTGGCCTAATAAAGAGGAACAATGTACAGTTGACTAGTTAGTTATATCATGCATGAAACTTCTTGAGATCTGAATAAATAAATTGTAGAACAAGAGAAAGATTAAATTGTTGCTCATAGTTGAAGAGTCCGACAGAGAATGACAGTAAGGAGATAGAGGGAAGAGGGACTAACTTACCGATGAAAGGGGGATTGGAGTAAGTGCTGGAGAATGATCAAAAAGTTCCTTGACGTCTACAACCAAGCATGTATACAAATTTGTGTTTTGTAATGGTTGGGTTGCCTTGTACCTCAATATAAGTCCAACCAATGTTTAGGTTGGTTCGAGGTGGACTTAGTTCACCTGTGTCCCCAACATTGTTCAATTTATACTCATAAGTTGTTCTTTTTCTTCATGAATGATATTACCTTGCTGCAGATTACCTATTGACTCTATGGCCAAGTATATATTTTTTTGTCATCCTTAATTAAATGTATGCTTTAGCTCTTTATTGTAGCTGGGGCACCCAGCTTGATAAACGATAGATATTGTGCTCCCCATTGTTCTATTTATGTTTCATATTTCTTTATTTATATATTTATGTGTTTCTACATCTATTCAATTATCGTTCTTGTAGTGATTTACTGAATTCTGATATCTAGTGCGAAGTTTGCTGTTCGGTTCTCCTGATAAGATTTATGACTGTGAGTAAATAGTATGTTAACCATAAGTCGTTGGCATCTAAAGCAATTTTAAGTATTCTTTTATTATACCTTATGGGATTGACACTTGAAACATTTTAATCATGTCCTTGGTTAACATATGTTAAATTCGTTGATATGTTAACCGTACGGCTTTGCTACCAAAAAAGTCCATCATGTGTTATTAACTTGTTATTGAGTATAGAAGTTCCTTTGTTTTGTAGGTGGAGGGCAGTTGTATATGTGGGGCAAATTAAAGGGCACGGGTGACGATTGGATGTATCCTAAACCTCTTATGGATTTAAGGTTGTGCTCTATGTCTCAGTTGTATCATATGCCGATTGACCTTTTTTTGTTTTTGTTTTTATTGGCATCTATGTTAACTTGTCTAGTTCTCAAACACAAGTATTTGGTTGCATCTTTATATCATCTATTGGTATTTGATGTTGGTTGTTTATTATGTTTGTTGATGGCTACAGTTATGTCAGTACACTAGCCATTGATCTTATCCAAAGTACTTTACGTCTTTTGCTTCTTATCAATCTAAATAGGGTAAAATGCTTTGACACCCCCCAAGTTTGCCTTTATTGCCCATGGATTAAACTTGGTCAAAAATTACTCTTGACATCCTGTCAAAGTTAACAGACGTTTCCTTTTTTGACGGAAAAGTGATTTTACCATTATACCCGTGGCTTTATTTAACTTCCATGCTGGCATCATTGCTGATGCGTACAGTTAAAAGATGAGTACATTTAAAAGGTGAAATGTCGTTTTACCCTTGATGTGATTACCTGACACTCACCACTTCCAACACCATCTCTCTGTCTCTCTGAAACGCCACACACAAAAACACTTAGAAACCATCTACGCCGCCTTCTGCTTCTTGATGTGAGCCAATAATAAGAGACCACTCGCAATAGAATGAATCATTGTAGGATAGGGCTATATTTAGGGTGTCGAAGCTCAATGACCATGTTGGAATTGTTAAGTATAAAATTAGTACCTAATTCAATTCGAGAAGAAATATGATTTTGTGTTTAGTTATGTGTAAATTGCAATAAAACGGGAAAATAAACTAAATTATCAAAGATTGATATCAAGGTACCGCTAGCTTTGTAACATAGTCATTGCTTCAACTATGGGAATTCGATTTTATGTATACTCGGGAATCGAATAGCCACAAGCACATTCTAATTCAATTAAAAAGAGTATTTATGAATAAACATTAAGCAATAATTCATCCACTTCTACCATTGAGAGAAGCCCTTAGCCGCCAATATCTCACGATAGAGGTTTGAATTCAATTAAAACAAGATTAATTCTAAGACAAGATGTTAATTCCATTAAAACTGATTATATTCATTAAAAACCCCAATTGCTTAGTACTACTAAGTCAATTGCTCACAATCACGCAATCAATATACATAATTCATAAAAATCCCCAAAGTTAAGAATAATCAAACCATGCTACTCGGTCTAAGGTTACATCAATGCCGTAAGAGATGATTCAGCACTCATGGAGAGGAAGAATATCGTCATTGTTGGTGTAGAAGCCATCTCCATGTACTGCAACTTTTTCTTAAGGATGTCTTCTTCAATCTTCGATGAGAACTCTAAACCCTAAAGCCACCAAGAAGCTTTCAATGTGTCTTCTCATCTTCTTTTGTAGTGGAGAACAAGTCCTAACCTCCCTTGGATGGGCTTTTTAACTTTTGGGGACACTTAGGCCTATGTGGTAACAAAGAAGAGGAGTTTTATAACATTCCCGCACTTGTTAAAAACTTCCAGGGCCGAGCACTAATTTCAATGCTCGAGCTCTGGGGTCTTGTGCTCGAGCACTAGGTCTCAGTGCTCGAGCTTTGGCTTCTGGTGCTCGATCACCAGGCTTAGAGCTCGAGCTTTTTGATCTATAATTTTCGAAGCTTCTTTTCCTTCAACACAACCATTTTTTTTATTTCCTTCGATCAGTGCTCGAGCACTGGGGATCTGTGCTCGAGCACTAAGGGTTTGTGCTCGAGCTCTGAGCTTGAATTCCTTGAAAACTGCTCGGTTGAGTCATAAACTGGCTCGGAAGGTCCGGAACATCTCCGTAAGCGTTAGGAACACCATTCCAAGCTTCAAATCCATGGAATTGTCCATATCTTCGGCTAAGGACCTACAAATAGCAAATAAACGAAAATAGACATAAGAACCGAGATAAAGGTATCACTAAGACATTAACACATGCACGTTTAAGGGCTCGAATATGAAATATTCAGTACTTATCACTTCTCCTTCCATCCCAATTTCGAACTTGACCGGACCTAACTCACTAACCCAGACGTCCTCTAGAATCATTATTCCCAAAAATGGTTTCACATGAACCCTTCTTCGCCCTCATCGCCATGGTCGCTTTCTTTGGTTTTCCGATCATTGAAGTCCAACAGTCACTTGAGTCCTAGACCTGCATGAGACTGTGTGTAGGAGAAAATGACGGGATGATGGCCCACATGAAGTGGTAAATTTCCTAAAACAAATTACAATTTCTTTTATGGCAAGTCATTTTCATTCATCTGGCATAAAATGATTCACAGAGAAAATGACTTACCAATTTTGGACTCTCCCAAACACCGGAAAATGAAGAAAATTCTTTGCAGAAAATGTTTTACAATGAAACAAACACAGGCCTACTTTTCTGTTTTTGGCTATACACCTTAGCAGCCTATATGTTCACTAATTCTGATTTCTGAGCATCTGAGAGTCTAGTGTGAGAATTCATGTGAAAGATTTCATTTCCTCCATCATATTCTCACTACTGCATATATAAATAATTGTTTTCAAGTGGCTCATACGAAGTAGGATATTCTTTTTGCACCAATTTAGTAAGTTATAATTTGAATCTTGATATATAATAATCATATCACAATCAAGTGGACAAATTTGTTTATGTTTGCTTTTTTACAGTGGCTGGAATATACGTTGCATGGATTCAGGCTATATGCACCATTTTGTTGGTGCTGATACCTCATGCATAAGTTGGGGCCAAGCTCAGTCAGGGGAGCTGGGTTATGGACCTCATGGGCAGAAGTATGCTTATTCACTAACAATAATAGTATTTCTTTAGTTTTGAGCTCCTTTTATTATTTCTTTTTACTATTTCTTTCGTATGCATTTCTATGCTGTAGATCTTCTGCGAATCCCAAAAAAGTAGAGATCCTCGATGGCATGCATGTTATAAGGTTGGTACATGGTTTGCATTATATGTATACTTGAATTGTTTTATTCGATTTAGGGAAAAAAAACTGTTTTATACGTGAGATGTTACTATGCATTATTTTTTCCCCTTGGTAGTGTTGCATGTGGATTTGCCCACTCCATGGTGGTGGTTGATAGAGCAAATGTTCTTGACCGTCTTGATCAGGTAACTCTCTCTTTCATTATTTGTGTAGTTTTTCTTGCAACTGAAATCGAGTGCTTTTCCGTGCCTTGCAATTTCATATGTGGATCTATATTTATGTTATTGACTTCAAACTTTTTTTATTGCAATGAAAATAAAGAAAATTTTTATGACCTTTTAAAAGGTCCTTTCTTGGAAAATCTTTTTTTTCCCCATACTGGAGATTGAAATAGAAGTAACACTGATGCGATGGAATGGATAAGTAAATTAGGAGATTTAGCATTCAGTAGTTGTATAGTATAAAGCGTAAACTTTTGTCGGTTTTATAAGGATCTTGTTTTCCCTAGTATATTCATCAACGTCATTAAAGCAAGGTTCATTGTTCTCTAAACTCAATGTAACCTAACTCCTAAGGTGGTTCCTAGCTTCGATTTTCTTCAGTAGCAGAAGCAATGAATTGCTGATTTGGTAGCAAATGCAAATGTGGGCTTGTTTGACTGGATTGGTCAAGATAATGATAAAGGAGGTGGCATAGTAGTAAAACTAGTGTTTTAATAACCAAAAAAAGAAGAATGATTTCGTGCTCTATATGTGTATCTTTTATCACATCCCTACGAAATACCAAACGAAATAGAATGATCTTAGAAGGGATGTAATGAAATTCCTTGATTGTTCTTCCTTGAAGAATGATCCAATTCAATTGGCAAATCCTTCCACGAGGGTCTAATAGACTTTTCTGACCAAGCCATGGGCTGGGAATGGCTTGGGTGCGTCACAGAGGTGTGTGGCATACACGCACAGCAGAACATGTCAGGAAGCAATAGCTTGAAGGCATGGTGTGGCTGTGACGTCACAAACTCAAAAAGTGGTTTGATGACATTGGGCAAAAAGCTCTTTTGGAACTGGGGTAGGATTGTTTGATGCATGGCATGGCAGTTAGGTAACTGCCGTGACTTGGTGGCAACACCAGAATGGTGTTTGGTAGTTGACACAAAGGATCAAGCCGGTGGTTGGGCGAGGCTTGTGAGAGACACAGATTATGGCCTGTTGGTTTGACATGTGAGCGGGTGGCACAAATGTTTCATGTCAGATTGGCTCCATTCCGATAGAGTTCAGTGTGGCTGGATAAGACTACGTGCTTATAGCAATTAGTGACAGTTTGTGATTACTCTAAGGGATGATTTTACTTGATGGTTTGTATACAGATAAATGCTATTGTCTAGCACATAGAATCTTTGTTTTGACAACAAAGACGGCTGTTGAGGGGAATTTGTCAGACCCTTATATGACTTATTCTGGTTAGTGCCAGCAAGCCCATCATTTTGGGTTGTCAAATGGTAGGTGTTTTGGTGACATGCTGTTTTGTGCCAGCGGGCCTTATGGCAGTTGGGGTGTCAACTGCCACATTGCTGATTTGTCTCAGCCTAACTAGGAATAATTTCCCACTTGCATGTGGGACGGGTGCCGGTGGTTGGGCGAGGCTTGTGAGAGACACAGATTATGGCCTGTTGGTTTGACATGTGAGCGGGTGGCACAAATGTTTCATGTCAGATTGGCTCCATTCCGATAGAGTTCAGTGTGGCTGGATAAGACTACGTGCTTATAGCAATTAGTGACAGTTTGTGATTACTCTAAGGGATGATTTTACTTGATGGTTTGTATACAGATAAATGCTATTGTCTAGCACATAGAATCTTTGTTTTGACAACAAAGACGGCTGTTGAGGGGAATTTGTCAGACCCTTATATGACTTATTCTGGTTAGTGCCAGCAAGCCCATCATTTTGGGTTGTCAAATGGTAGGTGTTTTGGTGACATGCTGTTTTGTGCCAGCGGGCCTTATGGCAGTTTGGGGTGTCAACTGCCACATTGCTGATTTGTCTCAGCCTAACTAGGAATAATTTCCCACTTGCATGTGGGACGGGTGCTCTAAGAGGCTTGACATCACCATTGTCAACAATAGCAATGTTAAAAGCAGTACATGTACATGTACATGTAGGGCTGCAAATGAACCTAGCCGAGCTTTGGGTTGCTCGGGCTCGGCTAGTCATCTTCAGAGAGGTGCTTGGGCTCGGCTCGGTAGAGTTTCGAAAAGCTCGGGCTCGGTTACATACAGCCTCCCAATTTGCTTCCCAATTCTGCATAACAGATATATCAGAGAGCATGTTTCTGCTCAAATACGGAATTTAGACAATTTCCCACAGAAGAAGGCAAAGAACCTGACAGCGCATCTGCCAAAAAATTCAATTTACTCAAGTTGTAGAATTAATTCCAAATTCAAGAAAAGAACTAAACATCATCTCTTTCATGAGATCACATCTCAATTTCCAACAAGATCTTACAAGGTTTCCACTGTTGTTCCACCTTGAGATCCGTGTGAGAAAGAGAGAGAGTTGTGTGGCTTGTGGAGGGCTATTGGCAGATTATACGTTGGAGCTGATCTGATTAAGAGAGAGAGAGAGACAGAGAGACAGAGAGATAATGAGCTGTGTTGCGAAGGCTTCCGGCGGGATTATGCGTTGGAGATGTGAAGATGATATGTGGCTTAGTCTTCTAATTTTAGGGTTTATTCTTATCTCTTAACATTACCAAAACCAACAGTTGAGATTAATATGTGAGATGGAATCTTATTCTATGGTGGGCTAATGAATTATATAACTCCTTGGGCCTGATTAATGAAAGGATGAGAGTTGGGGCCGAACTTATATATTGTATGGGCTACACCTACTAAACATAAAATGAAAATATATATGCACCTTCGATTAACAAGCTTGTTCACGAGCCGAGCCCAACACTGCTCGGGCTCGGCTCGTTTATTAAATGAGCCTAAAAATTGAGCTTGAGCTCGGCTCGTTTACTTAACGAACGAGCCCGAGCTGAACCCGAGCTGTTCATGAACAGGTCGGCTCATTTGCAATCCTATGTACATGTATAATTCTGTTTATGAGCATCCTTAGGATTGCAGTGAATATCTGGTTATCTCTGTTATAAGATGAACATTGTACGTAGATGTATCCCGAGCCGAGCCTGAGCTGTTCATGAACAGCTCGGTTCATTTGCAGCCCTAGATAAGGGTAGTCGGACTGGTTTAGTGCCATCACACCCACAACAGTCTGGAATCTGCCTGCAAAAATTTACCAAAAGGAAATTGAAGCCAGGTCGGTCCGTTTTTATTGTGGACTGTAAATTTGGACCATTTGGACAAGAACCAAATAGAACTATGGTTGGTGCGCCTGGTACTGGGAGCTCTTACTCCACTCCACCTCAAGTCACGGTTTTGTAACGATCTTAATTTTGGAGCCTTGGAATGTTAAAAGTTTTGTATCTGCCTCTTGTGTTGGTAGCTAAGAGCAAAAGCATACTGCTTCTTTGCCCTATTATGCTTTAGATGGGTGTCGAGTACAAAGACTTCCACTGCCTACATGACAGTTCTTCATACCTTCCTAGGCTCTGCTCCTGTTTTGGGCCATTATCCAGCATGATGTGCCTTTAGCATCACCTTGGTGTATGAACTTGGATACCTCCAAGAGTGCAGCAATCTGTGCCTATGAACCGTCATCATCCTCTGTCATCTAGAGATCTTGTGTGAGTGAATTTGTCTGTCAAGCCCCATTCACATTTTGCGCAAGGCCTATTTCTAGACAGAGTCCAATGAAAGGCCAGCATAAGGTTTTTTTCCCCCTCTTCAGAATGTCTTGTATAAGTCCAGTTTTCCCCCATGGGTGTGGCACTCTTAAGTATTTTCTGTCACGGACACTTGTTTGAATTAGACATCTGTGCTGTGTGCAAAATTCATGACGTTTGCATTCTGGCCTGCTCATCAGTTAGGATATTCTTTGTTAATGATAAAGAGAGAAGAAAGAAAAGGGATTATTTATTTATTTATTTATTTTTGTTAAAGAAGATCTGTATCAACTACAAATTCAACTTCTGTTTTCCTAGATCTGTATCATGTCAAAAAGGAAGGTCCTTGGAAACATTTTCCTTTGTGATGTTTGCCATTGAGTATTTTCTGCTTCGTTTGTATCTGCTAGCTGCTGCTTTCTGTTTGTTACTGCCAATGTGTGTAGAGGCTAACTGACTTTTTATGTTATTGACAGCTCGACATCTATGATGGCAAAGCTTCTGGGGAAGGTATGGTGTATGGTGTATGTATAGGTGACATTGTCAATGTTATCTAGAATTGTCCATAATGAAAATATATATATATATATATATATATATATATATTTAATACAAATTGAAATTATAATTCAACTTTGGGAAACAATTTTAACTGACCTTTGATGTGCATTGAGTTATACTACCCCCTCTATGGACACAATATGTGTTAAGAGGGCCAGGTTTCCACCTGGGCCATCTTTGAGTTATTGATAAGGTCTGATGTTCTATTAGACAAAGGTTAAATGTGGCTACGGAAAATGCAGTGAGTAGAGAGATCATTTATTGTTAATTACCCTTTACTGCAGGGAATGAAGAACCTGAGAGCGAAAGTCCAGTAGCTGAGAAAACTTCTAAAAAGAGTGCTGTTAAAGGATCTGACAACTCCAAGAAGAGGAAGAAATCAAAAGATTCGTCAGAGTCGGAAGAGGATAGTGATGATGGCAGTGATGATAGTGAACAGGTCAATGGGAAGGCAGAACAGAAGAGCCAACGGGGTAGAAAGGCTGCTGGTAGAGGGCGGGGCAAGGGGCGCCCTCCTGCAGAGAAGAAAAGCGCACCGAGTGCTGAAGGGAAAGGGAAATCAGCTAAGAGGGGAAGACCCAAGAAGCGATAAGCATCATTTTCCCGGTTCAGATCAGAAATTTTGTTCTCTATTTAGAGAAGTGTACTGTTGCATTTAATTGCTTCCTGTATTTGCAGTGTTTTTATTCACTAGCACAATATATTGCTGCGTTCATGTCTTGAAAATGGTCCTCCCGAATTAACTAACTATTTATTCTTGAGGGCTGTGAGAAAAGGGCAATTGTTTCAGAGGTTGACTTGTACCTGAATTTCAATTTTACAAAGGAATTTTGTCTCTTCTGTAGTTGTTAAATCAATTCTCAGATTTTTTTTTTAGGGGAGAACCCTGATTTAGTCATGGATGTCTATAAAAAATAGATTTGAAAAATAATAATAATAATAATAAATAATTCTACCTTTTCAAATTGATGGAAGCTTAACAATCAAATTCGGTTGTGTAATCAATTTTGATTTCTGGCAAGAAAAAATGTTCACTTTGCTGGAGGGTTTTGACAATTCAAGGCACGTTCTTATTGTTTCTGGGCCATAACGAAGAGAGAGTTCTACAAGCAAAACGTATCTATAATTCTCGGATATTTCGGTCACATATTTGATACTTCTAAAATACTTTGTTTAGAATCTTTTCAAAATGAAGTATTAATATGGCAGTAATGTTTTACATTGTAAATGCTAAAATTTAAACTTTTCTAGCATAATATTATTAGTATAATTGTTAAGAAAAGTTGTTTTCAAAACGAAGTATTATTTATTTATTTATTTTCTTTCCTTGCTACAATCAAAATGAAGTGTTGAGATATGTATGATGACTAATATAGTCTAAAATTATTCAAGCAATATCACATTATCACTCTTAATTTCAGAAAGTTTGTCATAATTTTGTTATTACAAATAAATGTTAATAATAATATATTTTAAATGAAAAATGCAAATATTATACAACACATTATAGCCAACTAAACAAATGTGGTATGCTAACTGGTTTGCAAGAACATTAGGGATAAGTGATATAAAGTACATGATAATGATTTTAATAAAGAAAGAAAGAATTTTAATAATTGCATTGTAATAAAAGTATGGATAAAGTATAAAATTCTACATGATATAAAGTACATGATTATGATTTAAACTTATGATAAGTGATCCATATATAAGTCACAAGAATAAAAGAAGTTCACAAACAAAATTATTAGACAAATAACAAATTTTGTAGAGAGTCAACCTAAATGTGAAGGACTTGAGTACCAAACCTAATGTGGGTCCCAATCCCTTTGTGTTATGGTGAGCACTAAATTATTAAATGGTGTGAGACTATCTTACTTTGAACAATTACAAGATGTCATGTAATTTTTATTTTATCTATTTTTTATTATTCAGGGTGTTCGAAACTTTGCACTGACTAATCCATGGGCTCCCTAACCCAGCCCCACAGTCCGTGTAACATTTTAAGTCAGGAACATGCGAAGTAGTGGGAAATCGAACCCATACCCAAGTGCTAGATACGATTCGTCTAGAACTTGGAGGCTCGTCCTATCAGGGCCGGCTCGAGCCTTAGGTGAGTTAGGCGGTTGCCTAAAGCCTCAGCCAATAAGAAGGCCCTATAATTTTTTATTTCTCTATATATTATAACTTTTCTAAAACAATTATAGTATTTTCTTTAATTATTAAACTTCAATGTATAGAAAAATTTGACAGTTGACTAAAAGATTTCTATGATTTATTTTTTTTGAGGACCCCCCAAAAAAATTTTCTTTATACATTATAACTTACCTAAATATTTTATTTTCTTATATCATTAAACCTCAACAAATACAAAATTTAATAGTGTAGGCAAAATAATTCTATCCTTGTATTATCCTTTTCTTCTTCTTCTTCTTCTTCTTCCTCTCATTACATCAGCATATATACACACAGATTAAAATTATATATATATAAGTGAAAATTAGTGAAACCTCCTATATTTTTCTAAGACTCTTATTAAATTTTATTCTCTTTTTTTTTATTTTTTTTATTCCTCACATATTTTTTCTCCTCTCTCATTACAATTTTTTTTTTTTTTTTTTCATCTTCTCTACAGTTATAATTTACAATCTCACAATCTCACTCTAGAAGAAGATTTTGAATATACTTATATTCTATTAAAGAATTTATTGGAGCATTAGACCAAATTATTCGAAATTAGTTTTTATTATTCTATAACTTAAATTAGTTTATAGTTTTATTAATTTTTGTTATCATAAAATTATATATTTTGTTTATAATTTTTATTTATATTATTAAATATGACTCTTAGAATAGGTTTAAAAATCACTAAACAAATAATTAGCTGACATAAATATATGAATAGATTTAAATAAAATGTCACTTTATTTTTTTCGCCTAAGGCCTCATATTATATTGAGCCGCCCATGCGTCCTACCAACCATCTCTGCTACGCCACTGGGGACACCATGTAATTCTTTTTGTTACATCACGTCTCGTAATCGTTCAGTACCACAGGATCTCGAACTGCCCAGTAATTTTCTCATCATGAACACCACCACAGAGGAGCTGAGCATGGTGTGCAGAGTGCATGAATGTTGCTTTTCTCTTTGAGGTAAGGTCTCTCTATTGGCATAAGTTGTGTAGGGCACTAGTAATACAAATTGGGCCCAACTCATCTGATGTTTGCTTGTAAAATGAAGCATGGAAAGCTGTAAGTCAGGCATAAGTTGCTCTCAGCATGCTAGTGACCTCACTCCCCCTTTTGGCTTTTGTTGGAATCCAATACAGAAAATGCTTTCAAGGTCCCATTTTGGTTTCGTATCATTTCTGTCCAAATGAGAACAGACATTCATTGAACTGTTGTTCAGAGTGTGAGCAGGACTTTAAGCTTATAAGTGAGGGTCATAGGTAAACCATTTAACACCATCCTGCTTCTATCAAAACTGTCTTAGGCCCCCATATATCAAAGTGGCAGAACACAAAATATATTGGTTTCTTTAATTCAGCTTCTTTTTTTTGGAAATTAATACACTTTGAAATTTTAAAAGTTTTCTAAAAATTGTTATATACAAATAGGGTTACAAAAATTCTTACCCAAAAAAAAAAAAAAAAAAGAGAGGTTAAAAAGAATCTAAAAATACAAGGGCCGAGTTTTACGAACTAACAAAATAGAAAATTATTTTTAGAAAGCTATGAAACACAATTATGTAAGAATACACACTTTCGTAACTGAGTTTTTAAAAACTATTTATCAAATAGATTTTGTACAGTTTTCTAATTTTTAGTTCTCAAATAATAAAAAATCTAAACGAAGTAAGCCTTAAATCGTTTTTTAATTCTCTAAAAACGCTTATATGTTTTTAGAGTTTATATAACTACAAGAAGTAGGTTTCTCTTATCTTTGAATTAGGTTAACATATCCTGGGTAGTCGGAGAGTTTCTAGATCACATTAGATTAGATCTATCTAATAAGTTATAGTTGTAAGCGGAGAGTTTAATTGGACTAAATTCATTTTTCTCAAGCGGAGAGTTTAATTAGACTGCATCACATGATCTAAGATTGTTATACTCTCAAGTGCAGAGTTTGATTAGACTGGATCATATGGTCTAAGATTATTATACCTCGATGGATCCAAATATCACTAACATTTTTCACACGTGTACATACAAATACATATATAATATATATAGAGAGAGAGAGAGAACCACACACATATGTGTATAGTGGAGTTTAAAAGCCCACGGCCTTTCTTATCAAGTGGGACACTGTTTTTCTGAAATGGTAATATCTAGTGAGAAAAATACATTGTCCGGAGAGGACCATTATATATACCACTTCTCAATCAGCAGTGGGGTTTTACCCATGTGCCAAGCACTGGCTCAATCACGCTTCCTTGAAAAAAGCTTCAATTTGAGATCTGACTTGCGGTTGTAGTTGTACCTATCTATATATATATATATAATTAATTAATTGCCAGCTTATTGCTCTAAAAAATTCTCAAGCCAGAACCAAAAAGTCTTAGTAGTGATGGTGACATTTTGCCTTCAATGTTGACAAAGCTTAGGGTTTAAGGTGTTAGTATTAATGTTGGCCTAAAAAAAATAATCGTCATCAAATGGGTAGATGCAGTGGTGTGCTCACAATAGATAAGGAAGAGGAGAGAGAAAGACCAGACAACCAAAATTGAACCATTAAAAAATAAATATAAACACACCCATCACTCATGTGATGATTACCAAGTGTTCTCAAAGCAAAACACACATCAATGTATATATAGAAGTCAATACTTTGGTTTGGTCTCCAAATCTTAGTTTAATTTGGTTTAATTATTCAGTTTTGGGTTGGATATGATCCATTAACAAACCCTGTTTTTTGGTTTAATTATTCAGGTTTGGGTTGGATATGATTTATTAACAAACTCTGTAGTGGATGACTGACTATGACATAGAGGCTTAAAATGATCATGAAAGGAAGTTTTCATATCAATATGATCAAAATTTTTTGATGGATTCATCTCACCTCTTTTATGACTGGACTAAAATAAGATAGGGACTAAAATAAGATAGCTTATGAAATTAGAATATCATCAAATCTATGAATTCTAAAATCTGCAACCATTAAATTATGATATCTCCTTTTCAAATGTAGTAGATTTTGGGTGCGTACAGCACACCGTGCACCTAGTTTATTCGAGTCGTAAGTGTTGAGCATCGGACACACCTAATATCTTCTTCTTTAATAGGGAGGTTGAGGAAAAAAAAATCAATACATAGAGAGTACTGATAATATGATATCATCAACTAATTAAATAATAAAGGGTGATATGACTCATTGAAATATATGCAACTTAGAAATAATATTATGAGTGCGTGCATTTACCTGAATTTTTTTTAAAAAATAGACATTTGTAATTTAAATACACGAAAAACGCTTATTCGAAATTATCAAACACTAAAGAGTTACTAATGCTTTGTTTGGTTGGAGGGATGAAAAAATGAATGGAAGGGAGAGGAGAAATGATGGATGAGACATCTGTAGGGAAGGGAATGTGTTTTTCTCATTTTTCGTTTGGTTGGATGAAATAGATAGTAGAAATGATAGATGTGGTGACATGTTTTTTTCATTTGGTTGAAAAGAAGGGAAAAATAGTTTTTATATTATTTTTACTAATATACCCTAATTATATAAAATTACAACCAAAAAAAATAAATAAATAAATTCAAAATTATGCAGCAAGAAGATTAAAAATAGAAATTAAAAGGGTCAAGTGCAAAAAACACCCCTATAGTATGCATATAGTGCATATTGCACCCCTCCAGTGCAAAAAACATCCCTAA